GGTAAAAACTCAGCCGTAACTTAGGCTGGGTTATGCTCGAAAATCAGCCATTTTCTCATAACTCAGACATATTTCATTAAGTCAGCCGTAACTTCAGGCTGGATTATACTCGTAAATCAGCCGTTTGCTCATAACTTAGCCATTTTCCTTAAATCAGCCGCAACATACCGTAACTCAGCCGTCACTGCCGCTGTATCGCTTTACGGCTGAGTTCATTAATACACGTCAGCGATTTCTGACGTGGTGACACGGTTTGTATAACGTGGCAATGACACTCTTTGTAATTACGTTTTTTCCTATAACGTTTATTAGGGGCACGCTAGGTATACAAAATATACCCGAAATATGATAGTAATAAAAAAAAGATCTATATATTTTTGGTCATTTTACCTAATTTGTATAACATCTGAGTAACTTTCCCTATTTTTCTACAAGAGATTCTGATAGCTTTGGGTTTAATGAGAAATGTGTTTATTGGGTAATAGGTTATGTTAAAATAGTTACACACTCGGTGCGTATCATTTGACAACCGTTTAAACGTATTAAATTGGAAAGAGGAATATGACAAGGAGATCTATTATTATCGTGTCCCTTTTCTATAAATGTACGTAGACACTGATCCATTTTGGTATCCACTTCGATGAAACAAAACCATAGATTAATAACCTTTTGCTTGTGGCTGATAATGTTTTTATGTATCAAACGTCTAATTAGCAATCTGAGGAGATCTTACTACCAGGGCTGGCCCTGAGATTTTTGGGGCTAAATGTTCCAAAAACATACAGTAGTTTTTTAAGGTTTAAAAAATTGAAGCCAATTAATACAAAAATAAATAAAACTGAGGTCGTTTTGTAAATAAAATTTGATGAAAATTTTCCTAAAAATTTGCAAATTTTTCACTCTGTGTCAGGGCAGGTCTTTACTGTGCCACTCTAAATTTGATCATGTGTCTAGTCAAATGATTAATCAACAATCATCTTTGGATCTTGAGCGGTTGTGAAAATATCCAAGTTTTAATTGAAGGAAGATCAAGGATTAACTATAAAAGTGGTACGGAACATATATACAGGTGTGTTGGAATGTTTTAGCAGTTGTAAGCAACAATTGTTCATTGTTGGGTTATGTGGACTGAGAATTCAAAAAAGATAAAGTGTGACAAGATATGCTCGTAAACCTTTAAAGTTTTGTAGAGCTAAGTGAAGAAGACACAAATAGAAATAGGAGATGAGTTATCTTAGATATTATAGATCAACCCGAAATCCGTCGGTATTTCGATCAAAATTTTGGTTACAATTGCAGCTACCCATTTCAGTTTCATGGATGAAGAAGGAGGTATTCAGTCAAGCATTTGGAATGCATGATTTGTGTTAAAATTACAAATCATAATATGTTATAAATTTCAAAAAATCTCATGATTTTAAGGTTAAATTACATTAAAATCCAATGCTCTTAAACTAATAATATTTTACAAATTAGGTATTCTGTTGCACACTAAGAATAAACCACCAATCTTGTGATTGACTTGGCCTGGCCACATTTGTTTTTCTGATTTTTAGTTTTCTTTGTTTTATTTAGTTTAGTAAAAAAACTATTTTTAGTATGTGTTAAGTATATTTATTATGAGTGTATACAAAGAAAAAAAATTCACAATTAATAAGTTTAAGACTAAAAAATACTGCAAGTAAAATAACGACTTATCTTATCTTTTTGAATCATGAGATCAATCCGATTGATTCAATCACTTGGTTTATAGTTTTCTGTGTTTTCATGTTCATCGCTTTAAACCATGTTAAAGGTAACATATTATTTTTCTTTTAATTTGGATTTTTTAATTGTAAAAATTAAAAATATTGATTATTTATATATGAAAACTGTTTTTAATTTTTTTTAACATTTTGTTTTAGTATAAATTTTTACCTAATAGCTTATTTACGTTTTAAGTTTATTTTTTGGTTAATTGAAAATAGGACAAGGGAAACAAAGTGGGTGTCAAGTTGGACAAAGGTACCGTGGAAAATGTGGAGCTAATGCAACCAAGACGTGCTTACATGATTTGCAGCCACCTAAACTACTACAAACTAAGCGTTGTGATTGTCAAGACATGCTTGGGACATTCAAGGGCTGGCATTTCTGCACATGTTATAGTGGTCGTCCTGGTTGCTAAGTCTTACTCATACCTTTAAAATAAAAATCTAATTACTAGTACCTATAATTTCAATTGTTTTTGGTGTTGATCTAATAAACGATATATATACATATAATCTTCTGTTTCTAATTTTGTTATTCTTTTATTCTAGTAAAAGTAGATAAATAATATATATGCGTATCACAGTAAATCCATTTTTTGTTTTTTTGGGTTAACTTGATGTATAATATTGGATGATAAAAAAAAGGAAACTTTAAGTATTTTACCATCTCATAATTAGTGACTCTTTATTTCATTATAAAACTAATTATTCCGTAAAACGTTTGTGATATTAGACTACAATGGAGGTGTTGAATAAATAATTCAATAGTTGAATCCTTGCAATGAAGGTGTTGAAAATGAAAAAAAACTGACGTGGATTCAAGAACGCATACTTAGGTTTACCCCTCGGGTGAACCTTTAAATTCACCCAACAGATTATAGCCAATCGTTTTGCCATGTCATTACTATTATTAGAGAATTAAAAAAAAAACACAATTAAAAAAAAAAGGAAATCAGAAAATAGATTTAGGGTTTAGGGTTTAGGGTTTAGGGTTTAGGGTTTAGATTTTACAATTAAAACGAAATTAGATGTCGGTTTGGGTTGCCAAATGAGTGGTTAAGGTTTAGATTTTATAATTAAAACGAAATTAGATATCGGTTAGGGTTTAGGGTTTAGGGTTTAGGGTTTAAATTTTACAATTAAAACGAAATTAGATGTCGGTTTGGGTTGCCAAATGAGTGGTTAGGGTTTAGATTTTATAATTAAAACGAAATTAGATATCGGTTTGGGTTGACAAATGAGTGGTTAGGGTTTAAATTTTACAATTAAAACGAAATTATATATCTGTTCACCGCTGGGTTTAGGGTTTATGGTTTAGGATTTGGGTTTAGGGTTTAGGGTTTATATAACAAATATTTCACAAACCTAAACAGATATATAATTTCGTTTTAATTGTAAAATTTAAACCCTAACCACTCATTTGTCAACTCAAACCGATATCTAATTTCGTTTTAATTATAAAATCTAAACTTTAACCACTCATTTGGCAACCCAAACCGACATCTAATTTCGTTTTAATTGTAAAATCTAAACCCTAAACCCTAAACCCTAAACCCTAAATCTATTTTCTGATTTCTTTTTTTTTTTAATTGTGTTTTTTTTTTAATTCTTTAATATTAGTAATGACATGGCAAAACGATTGGCTATAATCTGTTGGGTGAATTTAAAGGTTCACCCCAGGGGTAAACCTAAGTATGGTTCTGGATTCAACTCACTTGAAAGTATTCAACATGTTGAAACCAAAAATGTGGGACCACAAATGACACATGTTCTTTTTTTATTGGATATTAAAATTTTCAATCTCACCCTAACTATTTAACATCAATTATTATATACTAAACTAATTTATTTATTTATATTTTATATCAAAATTCATCATATTTTTTTCTCTATAAATAGATACTTATTTCATTTGATTTGGAATTGAAAAATAAAAGTTTATTTTACTATAATTCTATTTATTAAATAAACTATTGGAAATGTTAAAAATTAAATAGATGTTGAATTATTAGGTGGAAGAAAGAGAAGATGATGTGAAATGTTAAAAAGTGAAAAAGGAGGGTGTTGAATAAATTTAGCATTGTATATAGTCTTAGTGAGAATATTGTACCTGAGAGCGTTTTAGTGTTGTTCACGACAGACTTTATTCCATTTACCATGTGTCATTCTTTATCTTCACGATTCACTCACCCATATGCATGATGGTCTTACTGTTTTGGTCATTTCCTATTAATTTAAGTCCTCATGCAGAGATCAATTCCACCAGCTTCCTCTTTTTTTTGAGAGATTATTTTCACTACCATTTTCCTTTATGAGGCCAGTCACTTCTTTGCAAATTTTGAGATGGCTATTCGTCAATTTGCTTAACTTTCTAAAAGTTATTTGTTTAAAGGCGTTAAAGGCTTTGCTAATCGCCGAGTCTCTATATACTAGTCGTATCCAAGTTTCTCCAATTGATTCAATCAATCTCGGTTTGGTTGTAATCTTTGTTGAATCATCTTCAAGTTTTCATAAGTTTGAACATATAGCTCTATATTTTATATTGTACTCTTCAATTTATGTAGTATCTCATGATGTGTTTTAGATTGCAATTATTTTTGTATCCAGACAAGTTTGAATGAATGACAGAAAATTTGCAAAATATATACAGTGAATAACGAGAGTAAGTCGACTTTAGAACCTATTGATTAGGTGCCTTATTTTTTTGCTAATCTATCTCCTTGACCAGATGATAAAATATATTAGCAATCAAGCAACGAAAACTATGTAACTAATTGTTCTCATGACATGTAATAAGTAATAACCAATCAACCAAAACAACTTTAACAACAAGTTAAACAGCAAACAAGAAACACAACTTTTGGAAGACCGATATATTGGGCCTTCTCCTCAAGTTAATCTCCACAATTTGATATTGGATGGAAGACTTTAGCTAATCAGCTCTAAGTATGTTATAACTTTCTCTTATTGAGAGTGATTATTCCCCTCATTGTTTTACCTTAGTACATAGAGCTCTAATTTCCCCTTTCTAAAACCATATCCGCGGATAGATTACTCATGAAACGGTCATTACAATTGTCCTATAATCATATATATATGCAATTGTGTAGATAACTTCAATGTAACAATGCCACCATGTAAGTAAATCCGTTTGGAGACCAAAACACCTATATATCCGTTAACCTTGCCTCGCGACCCTATTGCTGATTCACGGACACCTACACTATTCCTCTAACAAGGCCTAAGTTTGACAAAAAGCTATAGCATTTCTTAATATTAATAGTTTTGATAAATTAAGACAAATGTCCTGAAGGAAAAAAAAAACAAGGGAAACAATTATAACTAGAAAAATAGAAAAAATATATATAATAGTTAGCTAGGGTTTCTTGAGGACTTTTCCGGCGATAAGAGCAGCTTCCATGACAATAGAGATGACATCAATCACTTCATCGGCGTCGCATTTGTTACCTTTGAACGTCGGTTGCTTCTTCTGGCTGAAATTGTTCATGCAGTTGATGAACTTCTGACTACACTCTTGGCTTAAATAATCATCTGCTCAAAATAAACATAAAGTAATCAAAATTGTAACACTTTTATAGAAAATATTTAGTAAAAGTGGGACTAGCTAGAGAGTGTGTGGATAATTACTATTCTTTGATTGGACACAAGCATCATGTTTCATGCAACAAGAATCAAGACCATCACAAGGTCTCTCACCAGGACATCCACTGTATAGTAGTCCACAATACTTCCCATACCTCAAAAATGGAGGCACTGTCCAATTTTACACGTTTTTTTTGTCATGTCTATACATAATTTAATACATATGTGAATTTATTACCAAGCTTAGAGTTAGAGATTGTTCACCTGAACAGAACTCTGATTCACATTTCCGGCTACATTCTTTAGTCTACCAAAACCAAGTGACCTATCAGTATAAACCGGATCTAAACCAAAGAAGATATAAAGGATCAATATGACCGGTTAAGAATTGACTAACCAAGGTAATGGAAGGATGTATGAGCTGAACACCGACGTTAAGTGCTGAGACAGAGACAGAGAAGAAGAAAAGGAAAGAGAAAAGTATGATCGGAGCCGCCATAGTTGAACAGAAAAGCTCGGAAAGTGAGAAGAATATATTGTTGGTTTTGGTGAAAATGAAATGAGTAAGAAGAAGGTAGAAGACGTAGAGTCTGTGACTCTGTCTTTTTGTCTTCTTATGTCTCGTGACTCATTTGTTTCGTATGGCTAATAATGTGATTTTCCATATTTCCAAAAACATAAATATCTTGAAGACTTGAACTATCAAACAATATATATCATTTATTTAGTTTTTTTATTCCCCATACATAATTATTATACTAATTATATCTTGAACTAAAATGATATACAGCTCATCATCATTAATTTTCTTTTCTTTATTTTTTTCAACCATCGTCATTAATTATAATCCCGTTAAAAAAATCGGGCGCCTATGCGCTCGTCGGAGGCTCACCGCCGTGATTTAGCCCTAATCACACTCATTAATCGTTTTAAACGATTTATCGGCCGATTAGTGATTTAATCGTTAAAAATCGCCGATTTAATAAAAAAAGTCAAACTGAAGTTTGGGCCTAAATCCACTAAAAATTGGGCTTCAGCTTCGTTATTATTTGGAAATAATCAAATGACGAGAATGGGAAAGCATATTTGTAAAGGAATATTGTGCTGTGGGGCACTTTTTTAAAACTCAATTATGTGTTGGGACACTTTCATGCTAATAGGCACTTTTATGTTGGCTAAAGACACAAACACCCTCTAAATAAAAGACACTAACGATATTTTTCTAAGTCTGCAGATTTTTTTGTTCTATCTCTCTCCTTTGCTTTCTCTTTTCTTTTTCTTTTTCTTTTTTCTTTTTTTTTCTATCTCTCCAAAATCGTAATTGCATCTCAAACAATACAAAAATTTCAAAATAAAAGGCGAGATTCAGATCTATCGTTAAAAAAGAAAAAACGAGATTCAAATCTAAATGATGAAGTTTCAAAGACTGTTTCTTCCTCTTCATTCCTTCGTGTATATTGGAACTAGAAAGAACAAAGAAACAAAGCGGGAGCTTAAGAGAGGCCTTTAATCCTATAGCTTTTACCTTTGTAAAAGAGATAGCGACAGAGAGAGGGGCAACGAAAAGAGCCTTCAAACCGATTGTTGAAGAATTTTGGAGGTTAGGTTCCGATTTTTCTACTCAATCTCTTTTTCTTAAATATTTTGAATCTATGTTTAAATTGGTTTTGCTTAGATTTTGATTTCTCAAAACAATATATGTTCTTTGTAGGTTGATTAGAAGATCCCATTAATGGAGGTGTTCTTCTATTTTGGATGAATTGCATTGTTTCGTGTTTGAATTTTTTAGACAATCCTTTTGTTAGGGTTTAAACTAGATAGCTAAGAATCTTTTATTATAACTAAAAGTTTTACTTGTTTGATTTGAAAGAACGAAACTGTAGATAGAGTGTGTAATGAGATTCAAATTTAAAGAACATATTTTGTTTGACCCACGTATATGTTTTGTTCATGAACCCATGTGTTGGAAATTTCTCTGATTTTAATGTTTTTGGATACTTGAATTGTTCTCTTCCTTGTGTACATACCGAGATTTGAATTTGTGTTATTGATCAAGTATAGATTTAGTGCTCTTTCTACTACGAAGGCCATCGACGCGGCGTTGATAAAGGAGCAGCGTTGATGAAGGAGAAATGGTTCATATGGTTCTTTATGTGAAAGTTTTTTGTTCTTCAATGGTGAAATTTGTTCTCCATTTCGTAGTGACCAATAGTTCCAAAGGGAATGGACGACAGTGGTTGAAACATTGTGTAATGTATTTGACATCTTTATGTGAACATGGATATGAGATCTTTTATTTGTCATGGTCATTGTCTAATGGACAAATTTATGTGGACATGGAGATGAGAACATTAGATTTTTTTCTTTGTCATAGGCTAATGGATACATTTATGTGGACATGAAAATGAGAAAATTAGTTCAGAAATCTTGATATCAGTTTTTAATAACATAGATGAACTTGTGTGCTTATTGTTTAATCACCTAAAGACTTTGCAACCTCTTCTTTTTACTCCAGCTCCCCAAATCAGATAAATGTTTGATTAATAATTGAGAAAACTTATGCCCATCACACTCTATATGAACCTTTTAGATGATGGATTTGAACATATAGATGGTCACAAGAGATTGCTTAAACGAGATCGTCTTTTCTCACTGGAGTTTAGAGTATATGGTTTAGGGTTTAGGGGTTTAAAGTATATGGTTTAGGGTTTAGGGTTTAGAGTTTAAAGTCTAGGGTTTAGTGTTTAGTCTCTAGGGTTTAGGGTTTATGGTTTAGGGTTTAGGGTCTAGGGCTTAGGGTTTAAGCTTTAGTCTCTAAGGTTTAGGGTTTGGGATTTAGAGTTTAGAATTTAGGGTTTGGGGTTTGGGTTTAGTATCTATGGTTTAGGGTTTTGGGTTTAGGGTTTAGTATTTAGGGTTTAGGGTTTAGTGTATGTCTCTAGGGTTTAGGGTTATGGTTTAGGATTTAGTCTCTAGGGTTTAGGGTTTAGGATTTTGGGTTTAGGGTATAAGATTTAGGGTTTAGGGTTTAAGGTCTAGGGTTTAGTGTTTAGTCTCTAGGGTTTAGGGTTTAGTCTCTATGGTTTAGTGTTTAGGGTTTAGGGTTTAGTGTTTAGTGTTTAGACTTTAGGGTTTAGGGTTTAGTATCTATGGTTTAGTGTTTAGAGTTTAGGGTTTAGGGTTTAGTCATTAGGGTTTAGTATCTATGGTTTAGGGTTTAGGGTTTAAGATTTAGGGTTTAGGGTTTAAGGTCTAGGGTTTAGTGTTTAGTCTCTAGGGTTTAGGGTTTAGTCTCTATGGTTTAGGGTTTAGTGTTTAGTATTTAGAGTTTAGGGTTAGGGTTTATTATCTATGGTTTAGTGTTTAGAGTTTAGGGTTTAGGGTTTAGTCTTTAGGTTTAGGGTTTAGTATCTATGGTTTAGGATTTATTGTTTAGGAACTATGGTTGTCAACAATGATTATAGTATTTATGGTTATTGGCTTCTTATTAGAGATTATGTATTCCAACGTTGTCCATATGGAGTATCATATGGATTTTCACTCTTTCCTTTGTGTTTACGATTAGGGGTTTAAAACGAAAACGCATGTTGCATTCTTGTGTCGAGTATCTCAATGAAAGGTCCTGAACAATAGGGAAATGTACATATGAAAATTATTAATGTAAAGAAGATGTGGACGGTAATCTATGAATATCAAAATGAGCACTCGTGGTGGTCACTTCTGAATGGACACAAATATTCTGGAGATGTTACCGTGGCACAACGGTCAGCCTTTGTTGTTTTGGTACAAAGAACACACAAGTTAACACTAAAAACATCGTATCCATGATAATTAGTCCACATAACCTTGTCCATAATGCAATACGCATTACGAATTCTACACAGTTTCGTCTTTGCATTGCTAAAAGAACGATGTCCATCGAATATAGTATATGTGGATGATGAGTTATGAACGATGAGTTAAGCTCAACCCTTTTAGTGGTGCTATAGTATAACGTTTTTTTTTACTTCCTTTGTATGAAATCTCTATTGAAGATAATATATGTGGATGATGAGTTATGGACGACGAAACGCAAGTTAACTAAATCGAAGTCAACACCAAAATTGTTGTATTTGTGAAGATTAGTCCATTTGGTGTGATTTTTAGATAGAAAACAGAAAAAAAAATGTTAAGAGATTTCGAATACCAAAAAACCAGAACACTTATTATTGAATATAAGCCAACTTGAACTAAACTTAAGAAGAAGCCTCTATTAGAAGCAGACGGTGTCAAGTCTCAAGGATCACGTGAGTGCATGTGATGCAAGTCCAAAGAAGGTGTCGTTCATAGATATAAGAGACTTGAAACTTCTTCATCAAAAAAAGCACAAGACGAGAAGATTCAAGACTCAGTTGTTATACACAAGCCATCCATTCAATAATGAATATATGTAGAGGAAAAAAATGGACAATGTTTAATATAATTAGACAAGTAAAATATAGTAATATGGATCTTAAAATGAAGGAAAAATATAATTATAGTATATTGTACCAAAAAAAAAATGGTTATCAATTTGAACAACCTCTAAATATCTCTTTTATTACCAAACCTTTATTCTATTTTTATCCAACAACTAGATCTCACTCAGGAAACAGTGTCCATCTATAGCCATTAGATCTGAACTTTAACTATAATTTGACGGCCCACAATTAAAACAAATTTCTTTCTATCCTAACTAGTTGGTTATTCGGTTGTTAGTAAATGGAGAAAATGGAGGGTAAAATGGTATTGATTGGTTTGAAAAACTTAAAAAGTGTTCACTACCCTCAAAGTGCCTCAAATGCTCTAATAAACTTAAAAAGTGCCCCAACGTGGGAGAAGCCCTATTTATAATCAAACTAGATTAGGCCCCGCGTATATGCGGGGTTATAATGTAATACTTTGAAATCCGTAAACAAATTAAAAATATAAATTTGAAAATGAAGTTAAATCACCCATATAAATATATAAAATAATATTGAATACGCCACCAATAAATATATAAAATAATATTGATTACGCTACCAAATCATACACTGATGAAAAAGCTTAACAAAATGATATTATTTACTTATTTTGATTCTCTTATTTTTTATAATTATATAGTTTACAATTAATTTTTGTTACATGTTTGCAAATATTTAGTTTACACATATCAAATCTTACGATTCGATGACACGAAACACTTTAACGAATTTGATTTTCATATATATATATATATATATTTTTTTTTTCTTATTCCTTTCTTTCTTTTTCATAATTATTTTCACTACTCTTTTAAAATTTAATGGGACACAAAATAGTAGAAGTAAAAATAATAAAATAAAATTAGTATGTCCAATTGCTGTGTACTTTTGTATTTGCATTATTATTTTATATATTTTCATTGGTGAATCCGATTTCTCCACTTTTTTTTGTTTTTAATTAGTTTCATGTGTTGTAAAATAGTAAATTACTCATATAATATTTTGTTTGTTATATTCCTATTGAATTATGTTTTTTTTTATTTTTTCCTACTTAACTATATTTTTCTTTAAACTTTCAAAATTGATTCTCTTAAACTTATTTAATTTAGATTACCTTTTTAATCATATTCGACATTGTATTTTTTTCTGAATCGATATCTAAAATTCAATTTGTCAAGGTTTACATGCTTTAAAATATGATGGACTTATTGACATGTGTTGTGATTACATTAATTACTACTTTTAGAACATCAAACTTTTTATAAAAAAATTATATAATTTAATCACTTTTTTGTTGTATATTTCCTTTTTAATATATGTTTACAAAAAATAATCATTGCAATTATATCCTTATTAGGATTTGTAATTTACTTTATAAAAAGGGAACAATGCTTTTAATTGTTTTCTTATTAGGATTAGTAATTTACTTTATTAAAAAGGAATAATGCTTTTAATTGTTTTATTATTATGATTAGTAATTTACTATATTATTTACGTTTGATATACGTTTTCGAAAATAGTAATTGTAATCTTTTTTTTTATTGTTTACATGTGTCAAAATCTTATAGATAGACTTGACACATGTCTCGATCATATGAGTTACTAACTTTGAAAGCCATACTTTATATATTAAGATATTTCCATGGACTCATTCTCTACTTGTTGATGTGGGATGTTACGTTTTTCCAAAAATTAATTAATAACCGGTTGGTTTTAGATTTGCTAGTTTAGTGCTTTTTCTCTCTCAAAGGGTCAAACATGTTGCAGAACATAACTCAAATTGAAACCCTAGTCAACTTTGCTCTCTCATAATCTCGTTTCTCTTCAAAAATTTGATCAAAACCAAACTAAATTTGACTTGATTTTGAGCCACTCTCATCTCTTTGTTCGTGAATCCACAGGTAATATCTCTAAAATCTTTAAATCGTTATTGCTCATTTTACAAATTTCACACTAGTGTTTCATAAACATGTCTTTGATGTCTCTTTGTAGTCGATTAAGACGTCTTTATCTATTGTCTTTGATATCTCCGTACGCCTAGCCAATTAAGATGTCTCTATGTTCAGGTTTTGATATCATAGGTTCCGCTGGTTTTTTTTTATTTCTCTATCTACTAAGTTCTGATTTTCTAAATGTTAGAATGGATGATCTACATCTAAAACAGAATTCCGATGATATGGGATGGGAATATGGAGTTTTGTGTGATCCAAAAAATCCAGATAAGGTGAAATGTAAGCTGTGTGGAAAAGAAATGTCTGGTGGAGTGTTTAGGATGAAAGAACATATTGGTCATCAAAGAGGAAGTGTTTCTCCTTGCCCATTGTCAACAAAAGAGGATCAAGCTAAGTGTATGAGTGCACTTAAAGAAGCAAAGCACAAGAAAACGAGAAAGAGACGACATGATGAAGAGCTTAGATTAGAGGTGAATATAAATAAACCGTATTTGGATAATGTACTACAAGAAGAACTTGGAACTCAAACGGCTCCTCACTTCCAAGGTCGTCCCATGGATAAGTTCGTGAACTACATCAACCCTGAAGCTTCCTTAGCTGCACAAACACGATAACAAAATATCCATGCTGCAATTTTTAAAGAGAAGACAAATGCTGTTCGCCAATATTGTGCTAGATGGATGTACCAGTCAAGTATTCCCTTCAATGTTATTGATAATGAAAGTTTCAGATTATATTGTGAAGCATTGGGATAATTTGGACCTGGTTGGGTTCCTCCTACTCAATACCAGCTGAGAGAACCATTTTTAAATGAAGAGCAAGAGAGGATAAAGAAAAAGTTGAAGAGTCTAGAAGTAGAATGGGAAGAACAAGGCTGCTCCGTAATGACAGATGCATGGAGTGACATGAAAAGGAGAAGCATAATGAATTTGTTTGTCAATTCAAGAGGAGGTGAGACCGAATATATTTTGGATAGGTTGCGCTTCTCACACCATCGACTTAATGCTTGAGGGAGTTTCCAAGTTGCCTTGGTTTGCAAAAGTGATCAGTCAAGCTAAAGCTCTCACTGTCTTTTTATATGTTCATCATAAAACGTTATCCATGATGAGAGCACATACAAAGAAGAGGGATATTGTGACACCAGGAGCAACACGATTCGCCACATGCTTCTTGACACTACAAAGTCTACACGAGAAGGAATAACAATTGATGTCTATGTTCGGCAGTGACGAGTGGCATGAATGCAAGCATTCTAAGTGTGTAAAAGGAAAACAAGCATCTGATAAAGTTATGAGCTATGCATTGTGGAGTAGTGTTATCGTGGTTTTAAAAGTGTTCAATCCTATGGTTAAGGTTCTAAGACTTGCAGATGGGGAAAAGAAACCTCCTACGAGATTCATTTATGGAGAGATTCTAGAAGCTAAAAAGTCGATCAAAGAAGCTTCTAATCATTTGGAAAAGAATTACAAACCTATCTTTCAGATTATGGATGAGAAAATGAAAGGTAGATTGGATTCTCCTTTGCATCTTGCTGCTTACTTTCTAAATCCATTCTACTTCTACAAAGATCCTAATATTCAATATGATATGGAGATGAGAGAGGGATTTATTGCTTGTGTTGAAACTTTTTATCATGGTGACTTTGAGAAGCAAAATAAAGTAGTGAATGATGAGATTAATCTCTATAAGAAAAATGTGGCTCTTTTGGGAAAAACTTAGCATTAAGAGGATGTGAACAAAATGATGAAGCATTTGATCCAGGTTTGTCTTCTCAATTGAATTTAATTGTTCTTGTTTGATCATTTATGTCTTTGTATAAGATATGTTCTTGTATGAGATATCTTATATTGTAAATTTAGGGAATTGGTGGGCAACATATGGATGCCATGCATGCACCTACGTTGCAAAAGCTAGCAACAAGAATCCTTGCTTTGACCTCTAGCTCTTCTGGTTGTGAAAGAAATTGGAGCAGTTTTGAAGCGGTTAGTCTTTAAATCTCTGTTCTTAGTGATTAATTCAACATTTTAATCTCTGTTTTTGTATAGCTATTTATGCTTCAGCTCCTATTTTAATATCTCCTCTTGAATTGCAGATCCACACTAAGAAAAGGAATATATTAGATGTCAATCGTCTAAACAGCCTTGTTTATGTCCAAATTAATGCAAGACTTTTAACAAGCACAAAAAATGAAAGAGAAAGCAATAGATGTGATTATAGATGATGGTAATGAAGAAACCATCGAAGATTGGATTGTGGAGGAACATCAAGACGACCAAGCTACTGTTGTTGGTGTCGTACCTAATACCCAATCTCCAAGGGTAAGAGAGCTTTATGATGATGATTTTGAATCTGAGGAAGCAGATGAAGTAATGCTTGAGATGGAATTTGAACCTGATGTGTTCCATAAAATCCTGAATTTCGTGACACACCAATGGGTTACTAAGGTTCGTTTTTGTTGCATGATTACTTGTTATTTTTTACCGTGATAGTTTGAATCTATCTTGCTATTTCTATTTTCCTTTGTTTGATTACTTGATCAATTGTTTGATCATTTGCAAGATAATCAAGAAGTCCTAACTAAACAAGAAGTCCAACATATGCAAATTACTTGATCATTGAAGGAAATCAAACGAGGAAGAAGTAGTCTTCACTCTTTTTGTGACCTTTCACTATTTTTTGTATATCATGTTGGAACTTTAATTTGTATTTTGCATATGTATTTAGGATGAATGTCAATCTGATATGAAGTAATTTTGCAAAATTATTTATAAATTTTAAAATATTTTTGTATCATAACACTAGAAATATTTTTAAAATATTAAAAATTGCTCGACAAACTAATCCTGATTAAATCTCGTTTAATCTCCGATTTTTTCGCTAGGCGCTAGGCCCACCTTGAGCACCCGACTAGCGCCTAGCGATTTTTTGAACGTGAAGTATAATATTCTTCTTACAAAACAAATAAAGTTTTTATTAAACAAAATTGCTTAACCGGGTTTACTTGGTAGGTAAAGAGCCCAATCAATGCAATGGTATCTAATTATTTAAAGTTGGTCAGCAATTTTGGTTTTTCGATTCGGTTTGGATAAGTTAATTCGATTTTTTTGGGTATTTTGGTGTTTGAAAATTTTGTCAGAAATAACCGAATTTATCCGAATTTTGCTCTGACTTTTAAAACCAAAAATAAACAAATGTTAAGCTTTTTGTGTTAAAATCATATAATTTTGGTTAGTTCGGTTCGATTAACCGAATTTTGGTCTATTATTCAAATTTTGCTTTCTCCTAATTAATAAGTAGGCTTCGCCAAAAATAAATTAATGAGAACAAGAAAAAAAATTAAGAATTGACTATGGAACATTAATGAAACAAACAGTTTTATAATAAATCTTTCTTCAACCTCCAAACTAAAATTCTAGAAATTAAAGAAATTTTTTTACGGCGGCCGCTGTTGAAAATGGCGGTGACGATGATGGCTGATGACGGCGGCTTAATGACAGCTCGACTATAGTTTATACTCCCTCCGTTTCATAATATAAGTCGTTTTGGATAAATCTTTTTTTGTTTCACAATATATATCGTTCTCAAGTTTCTATGCATATTATATATTACTTTATTATTTAATAATTATTTTTATTATGCAGTCTTTTTAATGATTAGATGAACTTTTTAAAAGTAGATATTCTTAATCCGCGTGCTTTTAGCTAAAAGGATTTATATTATGACACGGAAGATGTAATTTGTTTTGGGTAGTTTATACCAAATATCTCTTGGACCCAAACATTAGAAATCTATGTCTCTTTTTTAGAATGGTATAATTAACCGTTATTAGATCCGGTTATGCCTAATTTGTGATTTAGTTTCGGTTTACTTTGGTTTACTAAAATTGTATATAAACACCAAATGTAACAAATTTTCCCGGTTTGAGAAATAGAAAATCATTTCACAATTTTTTTGTTCATGAACTCTATTAATGTTCTCGTCTTTCTCGATCTCGTACCTTGAGGTTTTTCTTTCTTTTAAATTTTGACAAACGACTTAAATCTTGTATCCATTATGGGTCCGAATGGTAAAAGCGTATTTGATCGTGCGGAAATAGCGGTTTTATAGAGCGGTACGGTTCAAATGTGGTACGTGCGGGAGAAACGTATTTGCGGGACAAGTGCGGTTTTGTAAAATAAGCGGTACAAAATAATATTTGATTGGTGAAAAAATAATTTGCGGAATACATATATGATTTTTAGAAAATATAGTTAAGATTTTGTTACTTTACTTTATAGTAGAGAAATTGTTAATAATACCCTCCTTCACACACCCTTTTTTAACATTGCCCCTTTTTGCTTGCCATTTTTAAAAATACCCCTTAATTAATTCAAATATGACCAAAGTACCCTTGCTTTCATAACCTAAGATCTGCACGGTTAACCATTCTCTCTCTTTCTCTCATTTCGATCGGCGACGATTTGAATTTGATCGGCGACGATCTCGATTCCGATATCAGATCGGCGTCTCCTTTCGATTTCGCTTTCTATCGGTGGTAAAATCTCGTTGTTCGTTTTCGATTTGATCTGTTCGATTTCGATCGGCGTTAACATCTTTTTGTTCGATTTTGATTTCTCAGCGTCTCCGTCTCCGTCTGTGTTTTATTTCGATCTGTCCCACATCGATTCCAGGTTAGATTCCTCACTATGTTTTAGAAGCTTTTTTGAAAGGTTTGTCTTTTGGAAGTTAGATTCTGTGGTTTGATTATGTGGTTAGATTCTGTGTTTCTGTGAAAGTTTTGTCTTTTTGAAGCTTTTTTGATCTCATTATTGACTGATAATGCTTGATTTGACTGCTTGATTTTGAACTGTAGATTTTACAACATTTTTAAAGGTTCGTTCTTAACTTGTAAATGCTTCTTAATGCTTGATTTAGGGTATATCCTCTCTGATTTATTCCATTTCTTGATTTTATAACCGTTAACTGTGGATTTTACAACATTTTTTAAAGGTTCGTTCTTAACTTGTAAAGGTCTTAAATGCTGAATTATTCATTTGCTGTAATTTACAACCGTTTTAAATTTTTAACATTCTTGACATTATTCCATTTCTGGATATGGTTTTTATGCTTGGTTTTTACGCAGATGTTCAACAATAACTCATTGGATGTGCTTAACCTACCGCCCCGTATATATAATCCCGGGTTTGAACCAAACATTGGAGCTGTTGTTATTCAACATTTCGAAACGCATTTGGTCAAAAAAGTTGAGCTCGCACTAGGGGAGGAACAGTTTAATCTAATTAAAGCCTCTTTCCTTGGTCCTATTATTGAACTAGCAAAAAGAAGTGGAGTTAATTTTTCGGGGAAGATTTTCCACTTCTTGATGCAGCGAAGGTTGCTTTTAAAGGAGAAGAATCTCTGGTTCACATTTGACTCCCAACCAATGCGATTCTCTGAGAGAGAATTCTTGCTTACCACAGGTATATCTAAATTAGTTTTGTTTTGTAAGTTTTTAATCAATTTACAATGTGTTTTAAAAGTTTTACAATGTATTTAAAAACATTTAACAATGTGTTTTACAAGTTTTTATAAAACTCTAATATCAAATTTGTATTCACTTATAGGTGTTCAGTGTGACCTGATTGATAGTGAAATGCTTCGAAAAGGCAAAGCTCCATCAAAAGCTCCATATTTCTGGACTCAGAAAGAGCATTTTACGCTGGAACAACTCCAAAAACGTTTGTTTGAACCAAATCAGCTGCATCCGCTAGATGCTGAAGAGAAACAGAGTCTAGGTATGGTAATTTTGACAGAAGCCTTTCTCTTTACACCAGGTTCGTTGGAGAAAATCCCTTTGTCTAGACTGGTACATGCTTCAGAATTCGCAATCTACACATCTCAACCGTGGGGCTAGCATGCATATAGGGTTCTTGCTACAAGCATCCAACGGATAAATGAGAATACTTGGGCAAAAGGCACATATGAAGTAAAGGGATTTGCAATGGCGATACTACTATGGGCCTTCAGCGCAGTTCCATCTTTGGGCTCAGCGTTTGCAACAGAATGTGTTACATCGAGATCTGAGTATCCTTTGTGTTTGAAATGGGAAACAACTCAAACACCAAGATTTTCTCATGTTGTCGATGTCGTCAAAAAAATGAACTCAGTAAGTGTTGAATCCCCTCTTTTAATTGCCTTAGTTTTAAGATTGATTTTTAACATATATCTTATTTTTACAAGAGTTTTTAAAGGTTTTACAAGTTGTTTTCTTTTGCCAGGTCAAGGTTAATACAGTGATTGGAAACCCGTACGAATATAGCTATTTAGTTGCTAGTTCGCATGAAGACGACATAGACTTCGAAGAAATTGTTCGTCTTGTTCAAAAAGGATACAGACTCAAAGCAACTGATTGGAGTGCTGGATTTATTGATGTTTTTACTGTATTACAAGAAATAGGGGAACAAACAATGAATAACAACTTGTCTGACAGCGAGAAACTCGACAAGATCCTAAATTTACTTCAAGACTTCAACAGGAGGATTGTAGTAATAGAGTATGTTCTTAAAAGCCGTCTTGAAAAAGATGAGACTGAGAGATGCGAAAAAAAGAGGTAATTAAATGGGATTTTTTTTTTTTTTTTGTCAGTTACATGTGTATATAGTATATATTAAGATATATGTATCCTTTTTTTGCAGTCTGATATACAAGAAGAAACAAGTGCCAGAACAGAAGAGGTATGTGAATAATTTTATTAAATTCTTTTGAATCAAAATTCGGATAGCTTTTTACAAGTATTCAGAATGTTTTTAAAAGGAACAATTAAGTGAGATGACGGCTAGGGTTTTGGGAGAGGGCGATCATGAGGCGACTATGATGGATCTTGGAGATAAGGAGCGGCCACCGGGGGAACCACCCGATGGTACGAAGTCGTGGTTGCAGACGGTGGTGGGAAGTCAGGCAGGAGGTGTTTTGAGACCGGAAGTAGTTATGGATGATGCGTTTGTCACGGAGAGAATGGGTTTGGAGTTTCCAAATGGAGAGGATGGAGAGCCAGTGATAACGATTGGAAGAGAAGTGCTAGAGGAGATGAATGGGTTGTGGAAGAGATGTATGATCGTCAAGGTGTTGGGACGAAATATTTCTATCGCGGCGCTAAGTAGAAAGCTGAGGGAGATGTGGAAACCAAAAGGAGAGATGTTTGTGACGGATCTTCCACGACAATTCTTTATGGTTAGGTTTGATGTGGAAGAGGAGTACATGGAAGCTCTTACGGGTGGTCCGTGGAGAGTGTTCGGGAGTTACTTAATGGTGCAAGCATGGACGCCGGAGTTTGACCCGTTGAGGGATGAGATAACGACCACGCCAGTATGGGTTCGCTTTTCGAATATTCCGGTGACCTTTTATCACCGTTCCATTCTAATGGGTATCGCGAAGGGCCTGGGGAGACCTATTAGAGTGGATCTAACTACTTTGAACTTCGAAAGGGCAAGGTTTGCAAGAGTATGCGTTGAAGTAAACCTAAAGAAACCGCTAAAAGGAACGATTGTGATGAATGAGGAGAGATATTACGTCTCCTATGAGGGGTTGCCTAATATCTGCTCACTTTGTGGCTTGTATGGCCACCTTGTTCATCAGTGCCCGAAGAGAGTAGTGCAGGAGAAGGCACAAGAGAGACAAATCGTAGGACCACAGACTCATGGTATTGAGAAAGCGTCAACAAGTGGGGTTGAGCAGGGAGAAGACGGTTTCACGTTGGTTCGAAAAAATGGGAAACGTCCGGGAAGTTTGGTTGGTGCCGCCGGTGCGGTGGGCGTTTCCGGTGACCGGATGGGGCGGAATCTGTGGGAGATCACAAAGGGGAAAGATTCGGAGAATATTGTGATATCCAACAGATTTGGCAATTTGGAAACAGATATGGTAGCTCGTGAATTAAGGGAAGTTGCGATTAATTCGGGGGCAAATAAGGAGAATGAATGTCTGGGGAATCAAGGAGTAAGAGGAAAGAGTATCGAGAAAGGAAAAGGGGTAGTATTTAGAGCAGGGTCGGAGGCATTGATTGCGGGAAATTTGAAAGGAAAGAATGATAAACGGGCTGGAGGTGGAAAGCCCATGGAGAAATCGGTTGTTAGGCCCAAGGTTCCAAATTTAAACAGGCCCGTACGGGGATTGGTTTTTGGTCCAACAAAAAGTGAAAATTCTTTGTCGTTGAGTGGTAAGCGCTTACGAGTGGAGACAGATAATGTTGGGAGAATGGGAGGAGCTTTTGTGAGTAGTACCGATGGAGATAAGGATATGGAGGTATCGGGGCAATCTCGTGTGGAAGGTGGTCAGAACACGGGTTTGAGCTTGATGGAGGTCTCGGACCAGCCGAAGGAAGGGGTGCAGATTGCTCCTCTGGATGAGTCAGCGGGTAGGCTGGCATGACGGGTGTCCCCGGTTGTTCTTCTATTCTATTGTTTATCAATGACGAACTGCATTTTTTGGAACTGCCGGGGGGCTAATAAACCCAACTTTCGACGGTCCATTCGTTATATTTTAAAAAAGTTTCACACCGATGTGTTGGCTTTGTTTGAGACTCATGCTGGAGGGGACAAAGCTAGTTAGATTTGTCAGGGATTAGGCTTTGATAAGTCTTTTAGAGTGGATGCTGTAGGTCAGAGTGGAGGGATATGGTTTCTCTGGAGATCGGAGATTGGAGAAGTTGAGGTGGTGGAGTCATCCGATCAGTTTGTCTATGTTAAAGTGATAGATGGGCAAGATATTATGAATTTAATAGCCGTATATGCTGCCCCAACGGTGAGTAGGAGGAGCGGCTTGTGGGAGCGGCTTGGGGAGGTGATAAGTGGTGTTGAAGGGCCGTTGGTAATTGGAGGTGATTTTAACACCATTGTGCGTTTGGATGAGAGAACAGGCGGTAATGGAAGGTTATCGCAGGATTCTTTATCATTTGGAGATTGGATTAATGGTAATTCACTGATTGATATGGGGTTTCTTGGTAATAAATATACATGGAAGCGAGGTCGTGTGGAGGATTCCTTTGTAGCCAAGAGACTTGATAGAGTTTTGTGCTGCGCACATGCTCGGCTTAAGTGGCAGGAGGCGACTGTCACTCACTTACCTTTTTTGTCTTCGGATCATGCTCCCTTGTATGTTCAGTTGACTCCGGAGGTGGGGAGAGATCCAAGAAGGAGGCCTTTCAGATTTGAAGCCGCATGGCTAAGGCATGAGGGTTTTAAGGAGTTGTTGTCATCATCATGGAGGAGGGAGTTTAAAACACCGGAGGCTTTAAATCATTTACAAAGGACCTTAAGGAAGTGGAATAAAGAGGTTTTTGGAGATGTTCAGAACCGTAAGGAGAAGCTTATGGGAGACATTAAGTTGGTACAAGATATCCTAGAGACTAATCAATCGAATGACTTGTTACGCAAGGAAGAGGAGTTACTTAAGGAATTTGAAGTGGTTCTTGAGCAAGAGGAGTTGATTTGGTTTCAGAAATCCCGGGAAAAATGGATTGTGTTAGGAGAGAGGAACACAACATTTTTCCATACCTCTACTGTGATTAGAAGAAGGAGGAATAGGATCGAAATGTTGAAGAATGATGAAGATAGATGGACGTCCGATCCGCAAGAGTTGGAAGAACTGGCGGTGACTTACTACAAACGGTTATATTCAATGGTAGATGTGGAACCGGTGATGACAAGTCTACCGCGAGAGGGCTTTGCGAAGCTTGAGCGGGAAGATTGTATGGCTTTAAATAAACCTTTCTTAGCTGCGGAAGTGGAGAGGGCAGTTAGGTGCATGGGGAAGTTTAAAGCTCCGGGACCGGATGGTTTCCAGCCAGTTTTTTACCAAGAGTGTTGGGATGTGGTGGGAGAGTCAGTGGTGAAATTTATATTGGAATTCTTTCATACGGGAGCTCTACCGCCGGATACAAATAACGCGTTATTGGTGCTTATTCCGAAAGTGGCCAAGCCGGAAAAAATAACACAGTTCCGTCCGATAAGCCTTTGCAATGTGTTGTTTAAAATCATTACTAAGGTTATGGTGGGGAGGCTGAAATGTGTTATTAGCAAATTGGTGGGACCAGCTCAAGCGAGCTTTATTCCGGGTCGTTTGAGTGCGGATAATATCGTTGTTGTACAAGAGGCTGTCCATTCTATGAGAAGGAAGCAAGGGAAGAAGGGTTGGATGTTGCTCAAACTCGACTTAGAAAAAGCGTATGATCGAATCCGTTGGGATTTCTTGGAGGATACACTCATTGCAGCGGGGTTAACGGTTGAATGGACTCGTTGGATAATGCAGTGCGTTTCGGGACCGTCGATGAATTTATTATGGAACGGGGAGAAGACGGAAGCCTTTAAGCCTATGAGAGGTCTAAGGCAAGGGGATCCATTATCCCCTTATTTGTTCGTCTTATGTATGGAGCGGTTGTGCCATATGATTGAGAGATCAATAGACGATAAGAAATGGAAGCCAATCTCTATTTCAAGGGGAGGCCCAAAGCTCTCGCATATATGCTTTGCGGATGACCTGATTCTTTTCGCGGAAGCATCGGTCTCTCAAATAAGGATTATACGACGCATTTTAGAAGGCTTTTGTGGTGCTTCTGGGCAAAAAGTGAGTCTTGAAAAATCCAAAATATTTTTTTCTGCGAACGTTTCCAGGGAGTTGGAGCAGGAAATTAGCAGAGAAAGCGGTATTAAAGCTACACGGGACTTGGGGAGGTATCTCGGTATGCCAGTTTTGCAAAAGAGGATTAATAAGGACACTTTTGGTTCGGTGCTTGAAAGAATGATGTCTAAGTTGGCCGGTTGGAAGGGTCGGGTTTTGAGTTTGGCGGGACGGTTAACTTTGACTAAGGCGGTGTTAACTTCTATTCCGGTCCACACCATGAGTACGATTTGTTTACCAAAATCAATTTTGGATAAAATGGACCGAGTGTCACGGTCTTTTTTATGGGGTAGTACGGGAGAACATCGGGCACAACATCTTGTGGCATGGAACAAGGTTGTGAGACCAAAAGCTGAGGGAGGACTAGGGGTCCGAGCTGCAAATGAGATGAATAAAGCACTTATAGCAAAGTTGGGGTGGCGGTTATTGCATGATTGTGGTAGCTTATGGGCTAGAGTGCTAAGAGAAAAATACAAGGTTGGTGAGCTCCATGAGACTGCCTGGTTAGTGTCGAAGAGTAACTGGTCGTCGACATGGCGGAGTATTGTGACGGGTCTACGAGAGGTGGTAATCCCGGGGAAGTGTTGGGTGATTGGTGATGGTAAAAAAATCAAATTTTGGACAGACCGGTGGTTATTTAATAAACCACTAATTGATAGAGTGGTTAGAGAGCTTCCGGCAGGGTATGAGTCTGTCTTGGCCAGAGAAATGTGGAGAGATGGAGCTGGGTGGGAGCTGTCACGAATTAGTCAATTTGTGTCGGAGGAAACCAAGCTTGAACTGATGGCGGTGGTCCTTGACAATGTTACTGGAGCTAGAGATCGTTTAGCTTGGGGAGAGAGTCCCGATGGATGTTTCTCTGTTCGGACTGCGTATGGACTGCTGACCCGTGATGAAACACCAAGACAGAGATGTGAGAGCTTGTATGATCGCATATGGCGACTGGTCGCACCGGAGAGGGTACGATTATTCTTTTGGCTGGTCGGGCAGCAGGCGTTAATGACCAATGCTGAACGGTATAGACGGCACCTTTGCGAGACAAATGTTTGTCAAGTTTGTAAGGGAGGGAGCGAAACAATATTGCATATTCTTCGGGATTGTCCTGCGATTGCGGGTATTTGGATCAGAGTTGTGCCCCGGAGCAAGAGGCAGCGGTTTTTTTACACAGTCACTTCTTGAGTGGGTATACGGGAACCTCGGGGATGAGAGTGAGGTTTATGGGAGCACTTGGGCTACAATGTTTGCTATGGCGTCATGGTGGAGTTGGAAGTGGCGATGTGGTAATGTGTTCGGATCTAATAGCAAGTGTCGGGATAGAACACGATTTCTCAAAGAACTAGCAAAAGAAGTGACGGGGGCAAACGTTAACGTCAAAGAGAACCAGGCCGCAAGGCCACGGGTGGAATTGTTGATTGGATGGACGGGACCGCAAGAAGGATGGCTGAAGTTAAATACGGATGGCGCTTCTCGAGGTAATCCGGGGTTAGCTTCGGCGGGAGGGGTCTTAAGGGATCATCATGGAGATTGGCTTGGAGGTTTTGCCTTGAATATTGGTCGTTGTACGGCACCATTGGCGGAGTTATGGGGTGTGTATTACGGTCTTTATATAGCATGGGAGAAGAGAGCCACCAGAGTAGAGCTGGAGGTGGATTCTCAATTGGTGGTTGGGTTTCTAAAGACAAGGATAAGTGAAACACATCCGTTGTCCTTCCTGGTACGTTTGTGCCATGGCTTTCTTTCGAGGGACTGGATAGTCCGGATTTCGCATGTGTATAGGGAGGCTAATTGTCTAGCAGACGGGTTAGCAAACTATGCATTCTCTTTGCCGCTTGGCTTTCATTCGTTTAGTTTAGTTCCGCCGGTTGTGGCGTCAATTTTAAGCGACGATTTTATTGGGTCTGCGCGCCCGAGACAAGTTCGTTTGTAATTTTTTCTTTTTTTGAATAAAATGGGGGATTTATCCCCCCTCTAATACCAAAAAAAAAAAGAATGTTTTTAAAAAGTTTTTATAACTCATCTTAAATAATTTACAAGGTTTTTTAAAAAGTTCTTACAAAGGTATTCAAACTTTTTTGTTACATATTGTTTTTTGTTTACTGAATATGATTGTTTTGATTCTGTAGCAGTCTGACAAAGCTGGTCCCAATATAGATGGTGATATTGGTGTTGATGGTGATAGCAGAGAAGGTGATGAATGTGGTCCAAGTAGAGATGGTGATATTGATGTCGATGGTGATAAGAAAGAAGATGATGAATGTGGTCCTAGTACATTTGAAGATTCCATTCGTGAGCCAAACACAGAGGACGGGAGCTATGCTGGAGATGATGAAAACAGCCAGAAGATTCGTTCTGAAGATGATACAGCTGAACCTACAGCAAAGGTATATTGATCTACTTTTGTTTAAAAAGTCCTTGATATCTGAGTATCATTTTTGGTACTAATCCTATGGTTTTACAAGAGGTTTTAAAGTGTTTTAAACGGTTTTACAAGGGTTAATATGTTTTACAAGGGTTTTATAAGGATTTTACAAGGAGTTTTAAAGTGTTTTAAAGGGTTTTACAAGGGTTTTAAAAAGATTTTATATAGATCTTACAAGTGTAACAACTTTTTGAAAACCCCTACCCCAAATTTCTCTACTCCAAATTTCATTATTATCTGAGAATCATTTTTGGTACTAATCCTATGGTTATAAACACTTTTATAGGATAAAACCCCTACCCCATATTTCTCTACTCCAAATTTCAATATAATCTCTGAAGATAGTCAGGATTGTGGGAAAGATGTCTCCAATAACAAAAAGGTAGGTGAGAGTAGTGCAAATAAGGGTAAGGATAAGGAGAAGGAAGGAATTTCAGTTTCTGAAACAAACAATGAGGCATGTAAGAAAAGTTCTGAAAGTAAGAAGTACTGTAGAAAGAAGAGATATGTCAGAGAAAGAAAAGAGGTTAGTATTCAATATTATAAAAGAAGATTTCTTACAAATGAAGGTCAATTTAGAGATATGTTTTAAATGTTTATAATAAAATATATTCAAAGTACTTACAGGGGACTTTTTTTTACTTTTTTCACCTGCAGACAAATAAGCGTAAACAAGGGGACAATTCTTATAATGATATTCCTACAAGAAAACAGGTAAGAATTCAATTTTGTAAAACAATCTGTTCGTTTTTATAAACTAATTTCACAAGGAATGCATTGTTGCATTTCTTTTGTACATATATAAGCAAAGACATTACAATTTGTAAAACTTGTAATGTCTTTTATTACTTCACAACGAATGCATTGTTTTAAACTGAGTATTCGTGGCATTGTTTGAAATTTTTACAAGTTGTTTTTATAAGTGTTATTTTGTTTTTTTTGTTTGCAGCCTCAGAGAAAAAAATGCAAAAATAGTGACAAAGTTGCTGCTGATCTTGGAACAAGAACATGTGTTCAAGAATTAGGGGATAAAGCTGATAATGATGTTCCACTAAAAACTAGTCAACAAGATGTAGATAATAAATCAGAAGCTTATGGTCCATCAAGAAGAAGCCAGCGAAGTCAAGTGCCTTCCATTTATTCTCAGCCACCTTACACGGCAGAGAAGAAGAAGCACCCAACACTTCACCCCTTTGCAAAAGTTGACACAAAAAGGTTTGAAAGTTTATGTGAATGGAAGAAGTCGACAAAAAACAAGTGAGTTTTAAGTTTGTAAAACTCAAAATAATATTCATAACGTATTTTAAAGGTTTTACATCATCTCTGACTTTTACAATGTATTTTAAAATGATTTTACAACGTATTTTAAAGATTTTACATTGCCTCATTGGATGTTACATTGACTCATTGGATGTTCTTATAATTATATATATATATTTGTTGTAGGGTGCTAACAGTTGGGGGAATCAAAGTAGATTCCAAATGGTTCACAACACTAGAAACGCAGGGGAAACCAATATCAGGATCGGTATGTATGATTTTCGTTCAAGTATTCTAATCTTGTAAAACTTTAAAAAACCATTGTAAATTTTAAAGTTCATATAGACTAGCAAACATGAGTAATTTGTTTTCCTTTTTGTGTGTGTTTTTCTTAGCATGTTGATGCAGCTTTACACTTGATCAAAACTAGAAGGGAAAATCATCCAGAAATGTACCTTAACAAAACTGTTGTTTTTGTTGGATCATCTTTCTTAAATGCGATTGACGATGAGTATGCTGAGTTTGTAGTCGCAAAAGATGATTTTCAGTTTAGTTCTGAAGAGATAAGTAAGCTGGAGATTGGAAGCAAGACAAATTACATATATGCTCCTATGTGCTTGAAAGGAAAATGTTGGGTTCCAGTAGTGATCAATATCGAGAGAAGGTCTTTGATCATTCTCGATTACGCGACATCATTTGTTTCAGAAAATGTTAAAAGGATGCATGTGGTTGCATATTCTGTTGCGATGCTGTACATTTTGCGCAAGCTCCTCAACAAAACAGATATGGATGTTTCATCATTCAAAATATCCGTAGTGGACAATATATCACAGGTAAATTTTGTGATAAGTGAGATTGTAGATTGTATTCATTAAAACCTTTTTTATATGTCTTTTTTTGTTTTTTTTGTTTTTGATGCTAGGCTGAAAAGATTGAAGATACTGGGATGTACATGATGAAGATGATGGAATGCTATGCTATGCATATTAATGCAAATGAGAAACTTTCAGAAGGAAAAATTGGAGACATGAGAAAGAAACTTGCGGTTGACATCTTTACAGAAATAACAGATTTCTAGGTAATACTTCTCTCAGGTTTTAACATGTAAATTAGAAACCTACAACTAACCTTATATTTCTTGATTTATTACTTTGATCAGGGGCTAATTGTAAGAGCTGGGAAGAAAAGATTGCTGGGGGAAAAATGATCTGTTCTTTTTGAAGAAAACGTTGCTGTTTTACAAATTTTTAATTTTTGCTGAGAATATCTGTAGTGATTTTCCCATGAATTTTACTTTGTATAACTCTCTAGTTGTGAATTTAAGTTTTTTTTTTCTATGTACCTGCATCTATAACATCCAGTCTTCATTTATACCATTTTATCTTTTGATGTTAAGTTTTACAAGCTATCTAAACATTTTACAAGCTATGCCGTATTTTTAAAGTTTATGCAAATGTTTTAAAAGATTTGAGAAAGTTTTACAAGATTTATCTATTTTATTTGTGCATATTGAATTGAATGTTTTACAAAGTATTTTAAAGTTTTTTATGCTATATGTGAATATTATGTTCAAGTTTACAACATGTTTTTAATGTTTTTACAATGTATATGATTATATATAGAAAGAACTTTTAAGGTTTTACAATGTTTATAAGCTTATGAAAATAAAACCATCTTATTTATATTTTTATCAAAATTTTCATGATTCTTTAAATTTACAAGTGTTTTACAAAGTATTTTCAAGTTTTTAAAAGATTTTTCAAAATTTTGCAAGGTAATTTTAGTTTTATAATATATTTTTCAAAGATTTACAGTGTGTTTTAAAAGTTTATAACGTGTTTTAAAATGGTTTTACAACCTGTTTTTAATCGAACTAAGAATTAGATAGTTGTAAATAGTTGGGCCGAAATAAAAAAGAAAAAACCTTTAAAACACTTTAAAACCCAAAAACAACCGTTTGATAGAGAAAAAAAAATAGAAGGGGAAAAAAAAAAACGATTCTCTCAGTCTCCTTCTCCGTTGAGTACAAGAAGAAGAAATTAAGGGTTTTCGCTTAGCTTCACGGCTTTAGATTCTACAGTTTCGGTTCCATCTCGGCTTCTCCGTTTTCATAAGGTTCAATCTCGGCTTCTCCGTTTTCATAAGGTTCAATCTCGACTTTTCGGCTTCTTCGATTTCATCTGCCTAGGGTTTTGGGTTCGGTCACATCAGTCGATTTTACGGTTAAATTATTTTAAAACTTCGTTACTTTTTTGATTCATATGCGAAATTAGGTTATTTCCCCTTCAAAATCGAGTTTTTGTGACATTGGATGATTTTTGAGATTTTGTGATTTTTTTTTTGTAGATCCGTTTTTATTCTTACAAGGACTTAAAAGGACTCTAGAAATTCAATTAATTTTACCTTTGTTTTAAAATCTTTTACAATCGATTTTACAAGCAATTTAAATGGTTTCCAAAAGGGATCTAAATGGTTTGATTCTTTGAGAATGTGTTTGAGTATTGATGAGACTTTTCACTTTTCACAAAGCTTCCAAGTAGATAATGATGTTTGCAATGTACTACTCTATTTGCATTTCTAGAGTTGTTCGTTTACATGATTTAATTTTACATGCGTTTGTAAAGCTTACAAAGGGGTTGTAAATTGTTTGATTTTTTTGAGAATGCTTTTTGATGGAGTCAACCTACAAAGAGGCTGAAAAATGGTTTTAATGGTTTTTCTATCTTTCCTGCAACAGGGTGAAAAATGAGTCAACCTACAAAGAGGCTGTTTCTCCCAAAAAGGCTGATTGACCCAGGGAATGAGGTGGATAATTTGAAAAGAATATCAAAGTATTCTTCAGAGAAACTTGTATTGAATGTTGTCAAGTACTCACTTAGTCCCACTGAGTTCAATCGGATTCAGAATTCTTTCTTGGGACCAATCATAGATTTTGCGGAACGTGAAGGGATCTGTTTCTCATCACAGCTGGTCCGTCACTTTCTTCAGAGAAGAATAATGGTTAACAATGAGGAGTTGTGGTTTGTCTTCTCAGAACAACCCCTCAGATTTTCTCTGAGGGAGTTTGTTATTACTACAGGGCTGCCTTTTGGTGATGATGCATCACAAAGCCAGTCAAGACGAAAAAAGAGAAAGAAAGAAGATACATGGATGAAGGATGCATGGGTTTAAGTTTGAAAGATCTCCTTAATACCTTGTCTACAAAAGGCAATGCGATGGATGCTGATGACAGGGTTAGGTTAGGTGCTTTGATTCTAGTGGAGGGCATCTTAATTGCTTCAAACCCTGTAAACAAGATAGAGAAAGAACATCTGGTAAGAGCTAGTAGTTTCACAGAGTTCTGCAAGTATCCGTGGGCTCGCATTGTTTACAGGTCTTTGGTGGATTGCTTGAAGAAGATAACTCCGACTCAATTATTTAGAAACCAATGTGGGCTTCCTGGGTTTGTTTTTGCAATCCAGATTTGGGCTTTAACCGCAGTTGCAGAGTTGGGACAGAATTTTGGCAGTCGGGTCCTAGAACCCAACGACAATCGTCCACTGATTTCGCAATGGATGACAACAAAATGCCCAACTAAGAAAGAAATAGCAAACGTTACACAGGTTACAACAGTATGACATTTTTTCTCTACTACTTTTTTCCAACTAATAAGGTTTACAATTGTTTTACTTTGTTATACAAGAATTTTAAGAAGTTTACAAGGGTTTTAAAAAAATGGCAAGATTTTTACAAGACATTTTTAAAGGTTTTACAAGACATTTTAAAAGTTTTTACAAGCTTTAATACAGATTGTAAAACCTTTAAAATAGATAGTAAATGCTTTATGAAATAATTGTGGATCACATTTCTAACTTAAATTCATATTCTTTTTTATGCAGTTTGATATTAAACATATCATTGGCGATCCTGAACAATATTCTCATTTGGTTCTCCCCCCAAATCCAGAAGACAAGGACTGGTTTGAAGTCTTTGACCTTGTATTCCAAGGTTATAGGATGACCAGGCAACAATGGATTCAAGGATGGATTGAGGTTGCAGAATGGAAAACGCAAAAGCCTATGAATCAGCCTAGACAAAGGCAATCAATGTCTGAGACTGTAATCAGACAAAACCAAGGAAATCAATGTCTGATAGTGAAACACTAGAATTGATCTACAAGTCATGTTTAGAATTGAACAAGAGAATGTTGGTGGTGGAGAAACATTTAGGGATCAAAGCACCTGATGCCAGGGATGATGAAGAAAAGGAATTCCCAGCTTCGTCAAGTGGAGTTGTAAGTGGAAACAAAAACGATATCTTTTTTAATATATCTTTGATCTATAGGATGGTCAAATTTGATTATGTTTAAATATATTTTTGGTGTTACAACAGAACAAAAAGACTGAAGAAGAGTTTATAATTGTCTCTGATGATGAAGAAGAGGTTGAAATACCAATCAACAATCAAGAAAACAAACAAACAGAGACCAGATAAGAATCATGCAGTCCACATGATGAAGATTCACACGAGAATGTGAATGATGAAAAGGTATGTAACTAAATGAATCTGATTGGTTTTTATAAAGAATATCTGTAGTGATTTAAAATGTCTTTTAAATTTATAGGTTGCTCAAGAAGAGGGAGCCACGGATGAGGTTCCACATGCTACTGAAGAAAGCGATCCACAATGCTCGAATGTCAATGATAAGGTATGCTTTAGAAGATTTACAACGTTTTTAAAGGATTTTACAACTTATTTAAAAGTTTCTATAAAAAATTTACAACCTATTTTAAACTATTTATAGGTTTCTCAAAAAAAGGAGAAACAACATGAAGAGATGAGAAACATGGATGGGGCTCCACAGGGAACTCAAGAAAGTGATTCACAACGATCGAATGTGAATGATAAGGTATGCATTAATGAATAAGATTTATAAAAAAGTTTTTTGTAATGTTTACAACATTTTTTAAAGGATTTTACAACTTATTTATAGGATGACAAATGTTTCTACAACTTATTTATAGGTTGCTCAAACAGAGGAGGCACAACATAACAAGATGGGACACTCAGAGGAGCCGTCACAAGAGAGTGATTCACAACAATTGAAAGTGAATGATAAGGTATGCATTAGTTAAATCATAATAATTTACAAAATTATTTTACAACGTTTTTTACAAGGTTTTAGTACGTATTTAAATGATTATAATAAGACGTTTTCATGGTCTTCTGTGTTTTGCTAATTTATTTCTCTAGGAAGAAGAAGCTCGGCTAAAGAAGGAACATTCAGGTACACCATTAATTTTTTTTGTTAAAAATGATGTTTTTTTAATAATAAAATGGAACATCTAATATTTTCATGGTGTCATTTACTGTCCAAGATCGAAAACTAAGTGATATAGAACAGAAGGAAATTGATAATAGGGTCATACTCTGGGCTAAAAACAAGAACTTCATTTTTATGATGTCATCACTTCACCAGGTAATCTTATAATAATTTGTTATTTTTCTCATAACTACAAAAAGTAACGAAATTTATTATACATTACAGATTATTTGGTCCAATAGTTCATGGGAGACTGTTCATCACTTCAATTTGGTAAACAATGACAATGAGATAGGTTTAGCAAAACGTAAAGCACTGCTTGCTTTACATCCAGACAAACAACATGGAGCTAGCGCCGAACAGAAGTATCTGGCAACAAGACTTTTCAGCGTAATAAAGGTTAGTTTAAAACAGTTTTTCAAAATAAATGCGAAAACAATTTTTTTATGTTGAATCGTTTCTTATTGTTTTTTTATTAACTTATTTTGCAGCAAGAATGGGATACCTACATCAGGAAAAAGAAAGTGTGAAAGAATGTAGTTAACATAAGTTCCTTTCTTATTGTAGTTATCTTTTAAACCAGTATGTTATTTTGTAAAACAGTGATAACGAATGTGTTTATGGAACAGTTTATTAGATGAAGAATATTGTTAACTATTGCAATTAATATCCAGCTTGTTTCAAAGTGTTATAAAGGGTTTTAGAAGGGTTTTTATAGGTTAATACGTTATTACAAGATTTTTATAAGGGTTTTACAAGAGGTTTTAAAGTGTTTTAAAGGGTTTTACAAGGGTTTTTGTAGGTTAAAAGGTTTTTACAAGAGTTTTTATAGGTTAATACAAGTGTTTTATAAAGGTTTTACAAGGCTTTAAAAGATTTATGATGTTATTTCTATAAGGAGGTTTTAAGGTTTTTACAATGGTTTTTAAAGTTTTTTATAAGGGTTTTACAAGGGTTTTTATAGGTTAATACGTTTTTACAAGGGTTTTATGATGGTTTTAAAAGAGGTTAAAAAGTGTTTTTAAAGTGTTTTACAAGGCTTTTTGTAGGTTAAAAGGTTTTTACAAGAGTTTTATAAGGTTTTACAAGGGTTTTAAAAAGATTTTATATAGATCTTACAAGTGTAACAACTTTTTGAAAACCTAGTAACACCTTTCTCCAAGAATAAACGTAAAAAAAGTTTTATAACAAGTTATGAAAGTTTTTCAATAATATTTTTTAAAAAAGTCACAAAATACTTAATATGTTATGTAATAAAATAAAAAAAAAACTATATTGGAGCCACACAACTACTTTTGTTGTGTCCATTTTGACCACACCGACGACATTTGTAATTTGTTGCAGATTTTCCATACTCCCATCCACTAGGTATTCTCTTTTTCTTAGGCCTGCCACTAGGAACACGAGAAGATGGTGGTCGACAAACAAAAGCAGCAACATCGGCTGGAACCTCCCATTGTGTCCTATCACCAACGGGATATATACTCTCTGAATATGCTAGCGTCCACCTGTCAAACAAAGATATAATTTTAAAAAATTGTAAGAGTTTTTAAAGGTTTGCAAGACAATCAGAAGGTTTTTTTAGGTCTTACAAGGTTTTTAGAGGTTGAACAAGTTTTTACAAGACATGATAAGGGTTTCACAATGTTTTTAAAATATTTTACAAGGTTTTTTAATGGTTTTGATAAGAAATTGATTTACAAGGTTTTTTAATGGTTATAAAAAAATTTAAAATACAGTTTTATAACTTGTTTTATATAGTAACATACCTGTAAAGTTAGAATATGACATACCTTTTGTTGGAGTATAAGGTATCAACATAATCATATTCGTTAAGATTAATATGTTTTGTAGCCGCTATTGCATGAGCACACGGGATTTTCGTGATATTGAACACACAGCACGTGCAGTCTCTTGTTTCCAAATTCACAACATGAACCAACGTACCTCCTTTCACTTCAAACACGTGTTGATTCACTTGTGACACTTCAAGCCAGCGTGCAGTAGAATCATACAGTGTCTTTACTTGCTTCATCACATTCACAGTAACTGAGTGCCTATTACGAGTACCCTTCTCATGTCGTTCATTGAACCATCTGGTAAGAGTAGACCTAATTGTATCAAACAAACAGACAATTGGATACTCACGGCTTTCTTTCAACAGAGAATTCAAAGACTCAGCTAAGTTTGATGTCATAATGTTGTATCGATTGGCAGGTGCACAAGCACGTGACCATTTTTTGACATCCAAATCCCACAGATAATGTGCCATCTTGTTGTCAGCAAGAGACAGTTCATGGAACAATTGTTCAAAATCAAACCTTGTGTAAGCATAAGCTGCATCTTTCATAACTGGAATAAGCGTAGAGGATGACTTAAACCCAGTCTCAAGGTTTTTCTCCAAATGAAAAATGCAGATCCCATGATGAGCAAGTGGATAATTAACAATAAGAGCATTGGCAATTGATGATGCACGATCTGACACAAAAGCTAAATCAGGTTCATCCGGGATAATTTTCTTCAAACACTTCATAAACCAGTCCCACGAAGCATCATTTTCTGAATCAACTACGCCAAATGCAATAGGATACAAATGAAAGTCACCATCTTGTGCTGAGGCACCAAGCAAAGTCCCTTTAAAATTTGATTTCAAATGAGCACCGTCAATACAAATCACTTTTCTCATAAACTTAAACCCTCTAATTGACGGACCAAAAGCAAGAAATGCGTACTTAAATTTATTGTCAGGATCGACCTCAATGAAGGTTGCAGAACCAGGATTCTTCTCATTTACCATGTACATCCACATTGGCAAGAACTCATAACCATCATCAGGTGTACCCCTAGCAACATCGATTGCATGATCTTTAGCTCTCCACGCTTTTGAATAAGAAACTCCAATCCCATTGTCGTGTCTGAATTTTTCTATCAGTTGTTTAGGTTTAAGCGCAAGCTTCTCTCCACGAAAATGATTACTTACCATTTCTCCTAATGTCCTAGCAGTTGCTTGGCGATGATTAACCTTCCTTAGCGAAGAATCACAACAGTGCTCACTAACATACTTTTTAATAATAAAACTATATGATGCCTTAACCCTAGTTCCACGTAACCTCCAACTACATTTTTCATCAATGCAACGAAGAGTATACCGTGTTGAGTCTGATTTCTTAGTCCGGAACTCGAAGTTATTCTCCATTGCAAATAACTGCATCTGCCTTCCCATTTCCTTTTGTCCTTGAACAACTTTCCACAATACAAAGTATTTGAAGATGCATAAATAGTAGAACCACCTACAGGAGCTGAACCTTCAGATATATTAGAGAAGGATTCCGTTTCAGTTCCAACCCTCTCCGGGATGGTTGAGTCAAATCTCATCTGCAAAAGCAAAAAAAAAATCTTTAAGTTTTGGATTTGAATTGTTTTACAAGGTATTTTAAAAGGTTTTAAAGTTATTTTAAAAGGTGTACTAAAAAGGGTTTTTAAAAGGGTTTTACAAGGTATTTTAAAAAGATTTTTTACTGATTTTCAAAGAATTTGTAAGGGAATTGAAAATACCTCATTCATGACATGACATGCAGGAGCTGAAACAAAAGTTATAGGAGCAGGGCTTGCAGAATACATTTGTACATGTAATATAATTTTTGCAAATTTACAAGTTATTTTGAATCTTTGTTAACTTATTTACAAGCTATTTTAATGATTTGTTTACTAATTTACAAGGTTTCTTTACTGTTTTACCTCATTCATGACTTAATATGTAGAATAAGGATCTGTATTGCTCTCACTACTAATTGAGATGTTGCTTGTCCCCATCATTGGATTAGTGCTTTTTTTCACCTGTAAAGATTATTAAAACTGTTTACAAATTTGTTAAACCAGTTTACAAAATTGAATGTTGGTAAAATACCTTCTCAACAGTTACACATAGCTGAATACCGCCTCTGAATTCCGCAAGCTTTTTCATAAATGCTTGCACTTGCCTATCATTTCTAATATACATAGGAGGCATGTCTTTTGTAGAGGGTAATGAATAACTGAGTTTCACTATATTAATACCGACATCAATTCCAAAATCTTCTATAACAACAGCACAAAAATCAGTGAAACACGTATCCTCATTGATAAAAGTAAGAGACCCTCCTCTTTCAACATCAAATTTAAAATCCCAACAATTGTTATTTTTCAATTTCCAAACACCAGATATGCAATTCAACTCAATCATTACGACCTGATAAAAAAGACAATGTATTATAATGTTAAACATATGTATCTTTATGATAGTTCACAAGGTATTTTTAAAGTTCTTCATGGTTTTACAATATTTTTTAAAGGTTTACAATCTTCACAAAAAACATGGTAAATCAAAATTATTTCACTAATAGTGTCTGAAGAACATAAATACAGTGAGAAGATGAAGAAGAAATTTTTACAATGGTTTTAGAAAGTTTTTAAAGGTAACACGAATTATAATTTTCAAGCAAGACAAATTCGAGAAAATAGATAAACACAGAATCGAAGCTCTTAATTAATCAATTCAGATTTGAAGACGAATTCGATGAACTTTTGGATCTAAACGGTTCAGATTTCAGAGGCGATTCGAACCTAATTGATGCAGATTGGGATGAGTCACAGATTTTTGATTACAGACTCGATTGATCCTCGTCGATTGAACTCGATTGAACTCAGCGGATCTAAGATGAAGATATCGACGGATCTAAGATCTCATCACCTTTTGTTCGTCGGCGGTGAAGGTGATGAGAGCCGCCGAGATTTTTGGTTCGTCGTTCCCCAATTTTGTCTTGGTCAATTTGGTTCCTCAATTGGTCAATTTGGTTCCTCATTAAGGGTAAAATGGTCAATTTCAGGGAAGCTATTAGGGAGGGGGCATTTTTGAAAAGGGGTATTGAAAAAAGGGCATTTTTGTGAATCTCCCTTTATAGTATACATATATATATATATATGTGGTGTGTGTTTTTAATCAAATCATGAAAGAATACATCAATTTTTAATAATTTAACATATTAACTAATTAATTCTTAGTTAAAATTTAAATAAATCTAGTTTACATATAAAAAAATTTAACATACAAAAAAATTTAAAGTTAATATTTAACTCTAAATCCTTCACCAGAAAAATAAAAAAAATATTTAACTCTAAATCGGTTTAATTATAATATTATAAATTATATTATGAATTATGTGTATTTTTCTGTTTGTAGAAAATAACTATTCAAAAGAAAACTAAAACCAGAAAAAAAACTATATAAAAGAAAAGAATAAAAAACAACACAAATCTGAGAGGAGAGATTGTGAGAAATAGTGTGAGTGAAAGAGAGTATATAGTTTTGTTTTGCAGGTACATAAATTAACAAAAGAATCGGAAAAAAAAAAGTGTATTACATGGTGCGTTTTTTGTTGGACCTCTAGGTAAAACCTGCTTCTAATTATGAAAGCGGTCCGTTGCTTTATGTGTTGGTTAAAAACGCAATTTGGTCTTTTTTTGTTTATTTGAAAAAAAAACACAAATTTATTATGATCTACCTTGATTGGAGAACAAATGTACGTTATTTAAAAAGTGCTTGGAAACCGTACCGCCATTAAGTCACCATTCACTGCCTATAGTTTTGGAACTTGTACTCTCACACTTTTTTTTTTTTTTTAATTTTGTTGTATATGGCATACTCTTCAATCGTAACACACTTTTGTTGTGGTTCTTATCTTTTTTTTTTGTCTTCCAACTAGCAAGCACACTCTCTAATTATAATAAATTTTCTGTTTGTTTGCTCATTTTCTATTTTGTGAAAGCAAAAAACAATTTTTGTTTCATACAAGAATTTAAATTATATTTTTTCTACATTTTAGGATCCATTTAATAGATTTGAAGTCAAATAAAAAATTGATTTCATCCAACAAATGAATTTGGGTCTGACTGGTGATCACTTCAGAAGAAATATTTATCATCTGTTATCTTCTGGGCCCATCTCTTTTATTTTTGTTATCACATAAACTTTTTTTGTTTAGAAGAAAACGTTACTCTGCTAAATATAAGAGGTAATAATTCCTCCAATAATTATTCTTCTAGCCATGCACCAGTCAGACCCTTTGATTTGGATGGTGTGTTGTAGACGATGTCATATGAATGAGCATTTAACACAATCATCCAATGATATGGTTTTTTTCCGTCATCCAATAAACAATGTTTACAGATATTTAAACAAACGAAACTTTTTTTAAAAACATCGATCTATACACGCCATCTATAAGATTCTTTAAACTCGTCTAAAAATACAATGCATCTAAAGATATATGAACATGTTAACACATCACCACATCTAATAGGAAAAGGGTATTTTTATACCCGTACAATTTGCAATGTGTGTTTTCATACCTGAACAAATATGTAGAGCTAATTCCAACCTAAACCGTAAAAAAATTTAAATTTCATACCCAAACTTTACATTTAATGTTTTTTCCGGAGTCGTAATTAACCAGTGTTAGTCAATCGTTACGGTTGCTGAGTCAACTAACACGTGTTTGATGGCGTGGCTTAAAACGACGTCGTTTTATTTGTTGAAATTAAAATTGTAAATTTTCTCTGCAAAAATCGGGTCTCAAACACCTCAAATCTCACTGGTTGTGTGTAATGAGTTGTGTAAACGAGTGAGGTGTCGGGGGTTCGAGACCCGATTTTTGCAAAATAAAACAAATAATATAACTCCAACAAACACAACGACGTCGTTTTAGACCACTTCATCAAACATGTATCAATTGACTCAACAACTGTAACGGCTAACTAACACAGATTAATTACGATTCCGAAAACAATACTAAAGTAGATTTTAACCCGCGGTACACCATGGGATGATTTATTTTTAAAGTTAGTATAAAAATATTTTGTAAATGTTATCTCTTTATAAAATATTTATTTATATTATAATTTACAATTGTTATTAAGTAACGGTATACCACGAGTCCACGAGATAATTGTTGATAAACTGAGGATTTAACCCGTATTAAAGCGGCTTGTTAATGATATTTATAAATATTGATTCAAATTTGTCCGCCATATAAATCCGTTCCGAAATATAACCCGTTCCGTAATTTTTTAACCCGTCCCGTGATTTGTTTTTATTTTAAATTTAATGACTATTCATTATAATATAATTTTACAAATCATATCATTCTCTAAGTCATTTATATTTTAATAAACTGAAGATTTTATCTGTATTAAAGCGGCATGTTAATGATATTTTAAAATTTTATAAATATTGATTCAAACTCGTCCGCCATATAATTTTGTTCCGAAATATAACCCATCCTGTAACTTCTTAACCCGTCTCGTGATTTGTTTTCTAAAAGTAGTCATTTTTAAAAAAATTTAACGATATTTATTGTATATAAAAGATTGCAAATTATATTATTTTCTAAGATATTTATATTTTATACTTTACAATTGTTATTAAGTAACATTATACCACGGGACAATTTTTGGTTTTATACAATCTTTTCTAAATGAGATTTATTTAATATGTCTAATATTGGTGGTATTAAAAAAAAAGTAAGGATGTAATCCGTATTGAAGTGGCGGATTAATGATATTTTAATCTTTTTATTATTGTTGATTCAAAAATCCGTCCCGCCAAACCCCTCCGGTCAAAAAACTCATTTATTTTATTAATGTTAATCTTATTTATGATATGATTCTGAATCATTGTCTAAATATTTTAATCGATATAGAACGTTGAACACACATTTTCGTCAATTGGATAATATATGTCCGTTTTTAAAATTTTGAATCACAGTATATGCAGAAAAAAAATGATATTTTTTACTTTATGTATTATATGATGATTCAAAACAGTTAAAAATAAATCAAACAAATATGATAGGAGAATCATAATTCTAAATCTTAATCATGAAATGTATGGTTTAGGTTATTTGATTATATTTGTTTGAAATAGTAATAATATTAATTATAACAAATAATAACATAAATAAATTTCATTTTTAAAAATAGTTTAGGGTTTAGGGTTTAGGGTTTAGGGTTTAGGGTTTAGGGTTTAGGGTTTAGTGTTTTAAATAGTAGCTAATATTAATGATATAAAGTATACTATTATAACATAAATGAATTATATCATTTTATTAATTATAACATCATTAATGTGTTTCAACAATATGATTTACACAATAAGAAGATTAGTGTACATGTATTCTAAGGCAATCATATGTGTTACCTTCAAATTTCTAAAAACGTTGCAAAATATTTTTTTTAAATTGCGAAAAAAATTATATAATCATGTAAATAACTCATAAACATATTAATTAGTCAATATATAATTTTTTAAAAATTATATAAATAGTAAAAACACATTTTTATGCCTATAAACAAAATAAGCCAATCATAATGTTTCACTCGGATTGCTGATGTGGCGAGATCTCAGCCTTTCAAAGGCTTTGGCGGCTGCATGTTTAAGAAAATCTCATCCGTTCATCGCCCAACAAAGGCTTTTTTCTTTTTGGTTAAAACTTCTCCTTTTTCTTCTTTTCTTCGTATCCTTCAAGTCTTCAACTCTTACATTCTTATGAGAAAACCAAACGTTTGCTTACAGTTTCTTCACATGTGGCTCACGGTTGCTACTTTTATTGATTCCGAGCTGTTAGAGTACGGTGGCTCAAGGCGGATTTCAATTGTGTATTTGGGTTTTACATGTCCGGTCATCTCCGTGATGGATATCTAGCGGCAGATCTCGCATATGAGGGTGGTGACAACGAGAACAATTCTCCGGTTGCGTCGGTTAGGCTTTTAGGGTTAAATCCAGTGTCTTAGATTTGCCTTTGGCAGGATTAACGAAATTCATTGCCATCTCCGACTCGAATCTGAGACAACCAAAGAAGAAGACGAAGAAGAAGAATGGTCTGTCGAAGGTACTTATAATTTCCATGGGTTCTTATAAACAAAAATTGAAAGAAAATTGTTTATTTGTTCAACTGAATCTAACAATTGTTTATTGGTTTGATAATCTGAGAGAATCGATTTATAATTCTTTTATTTTGCTTTTCTTATTTTAGTTGAAGATGAAGATGGTAGGCGACAAATCCGGTTGAGGACTGTTCTCTTTGTAGCTGGCAAGTAACAAGCTTCATCGAACGTGAGCAGATCTCTTTGTGGCGGCGAGTAGGAAGCTTCATCCGACGGGAAGATCGAACGGCCGTCGCCGTGCCGTTATTTTGTCACCGTAACCACTTGTGAAAACTGAAAACCCTAATTTGTTAATGGGCTCTGGGCTTTTTGTTTGTAAAATTGTTAGTTAGGCTTATTAATGGGTTTTGTATTATATATTTGTAATCCATTTTTTATTTTTGGTCTAATTCGGTTCGAAATAACCGAGATAAAAAAAATTCGGTTTATTTCGGAATTGATTTTAAACCCTATAACCGAACCGAAAAAAGTGAGTACCGAACCGACCCGAACCGAACAATTCGGCAGAATTTTGTAAAACAGAATAAACCAATAAACCGAATAAACCGATCCGATTAACCCGAGATAACCGAACGCCCAGGGCGAAACAAAATCATAACGATTATTACACGTTATTATAAATATTAATAATAGCAACGTCATAAACGCTATCATAGTTTAATTAACTATAGCATTCGCAAAGTCCGCTATCTAAAGTGTCCGACTTTCTATAACGGGCGATGTCAGAGCGCTTAAGGAAACGCTATGGTAGATGAATAATAGCGTTTATCGGCCGCTATTAATACCCACATTTCCTGTAGTGAAATATCTAAATTATTAAATATGGAATATCCGGTGTATGAGTTGGGTTAAATATAACCCGACCCAACAAACTTTCTATGACCAAAATTTGTAAACGGGTTGGGTATCCAAAGTATTCGAGAACAATTTTACCTACCCGACTCAAAAGTGACTGCAAAAATACTAGTATACACATTTGTTCAGATATGAAAACATACTTTACAAATTGTATGGGTATGAAAATACCCTTTTCCCCACATCTAATCATCATCAGAATTTTCCAATCTAGGCTCCGAAACAATGTCTATAGCCGGTCTAACAATACCAGTACACGAACGATTCCATATCGAGTCCTCTTTATCAACTATAACATATATATCCTTAACAATATATTTTCACAACAAAAGCATACTGTTATACGAACGCATGTCATCATGTTGAAGACCATAAGTCGACTGCAAGAAAATAATAATTATAGAAATATATAAAACAATTGGTAACACTAAATCCAATTTAATAATAGAAAAATTAATACTTTAGACAAACACCAAATAGAAACTACTAACGTTAGTCAATCGTTCTAGAGTAGATGAAGGACTCAAATCCTTCAAAGCCTATCAAAAGAACACAGAGATTACACATTATAAAATATGGATAGAAATAATAAAATACATAATATCAATAGATAATAATAAAGGTAACATATAAGAAAACACCAACATACTTGCTCATAAATAACAATATCATCTACACAACCTCCTCCCAAGATAGATCTTCTGTACCATTTTCTAGTGGACTAAAAAACACAACCAAATTTATTTAAACCTGAACGTAGATAGGTATATACTTATAGATTAAAGCGATGGACGATACCTTATACAAATAAAATTGATCCTTAATACATCCTCAAGATAGAATGTTACCAATGGACAATGATGCGTGTTTTATTTCGCCTCAAAGTTTTCTCTTAGAGACTACACGAAATACTGCAAGTGCAAAATTAATCGGTTGTAGTATTTAATGATCAATCCCACATAGACTTATAAGTATGGTACAAATTCAATGGAAAGAAATATGTCTAAGACAAACAAAAGAGAGGGGTTTGGTATAATATCTAATGCAATGAAATAAGAAAGCAAATAAATGAAAGCAAAGTAAACTAAAGCAAATAAAACGATTAAGGTTATCAATAAATGAGAAGTTGGGCTTCAGGGATTTCTTAGGGTATCACGGATCAGGTTATTCTAGGGTTTTAAACAAAGGTAAACCTATGCTTATTATTAAACAGTTCATGAACTATGAAACACTTATATAAAACCGTTTGGTTTATGGCCAAACAACTATCTAAGTCTAACAACTCCGTTACTAAACTAACGCATGCAACGACGAGATTAAACCAGCATGATTAACGAGTTCGATTATAGTTCGTAAAGCCCTAACCGTCACCCTCGGCGGTGTGAGACCTCTTGACACCACACCAGTCTGGGTTCGGCCCTGATACCACATGTATCGTCCCGACCGTCCCTACCAGTGAGCACCCATGTACTCTCTCAGGCCCGTGGGCCCCACCCCTGTCTGACGATCGGCTTGCTATGTTCGTGAGGCTTTAAAGACTTGTTTACCTACCCTATAAATCATCACATCATCTTTTCTTGTGTTTTTTCCTCACTCACACAGTTCCGACAATCACTTTTTGGAATGTCACACATCCTGAAATTGCTCTAGCTCAAGCACGCTTAACTGTGGAGTTCTCTCAGGAAGTTAGACTGAAAAGATAAGCGCTATTTGGTGCCATTGGTGGCACAATGAATTCTTGTAAATCTCTCTGCATGCACCACCATATTTTTGAAACTAGGGTATTGCAATTCACCCTCACTAACAGATCGCAACATCTTGTTGCGCACCAAGACTGTCACCCCCGATGGTGTGAGCCTTCTTGACTCGATACGGTTTGGCTCTGATACCACTTGTAACGCCCGACCATCCCTACCATTGAGCACCCACGTCTTTTCTCAGGCCCATGGACCCTACCTTTATCCAACGGCCGCTCCGCTACGTCCTGCAATCTTTAAAGACTTGTTTACCAACCCTACAAATCACCATATGATCTTTTCTTGTGTTTTTTCCTCACTTACACAGTTCCGACAATCACTTCCCAGAAGGTCACCCATCCTGAAATTGCTCCCACTCAAGCACGCTTAACTAGTGGATTTCTCTCAAGACGTTTGACCGAAGAGATAAGTGTACTTTGGTGACATAGGTGGCCAAAACAATTCTTTTAAATCGGGATGTTACATAATTCTTCTTATCACCCACATTTAACCAGTGGAGCTTTGACTTTTGTTTCAGGAATCCTTCCTCGAAGTCGGTAAGATGTTGCCACTTTGTGTAGGCTCTTAACTCTTCTTCAATCATTTGCGGTGATGGGTTAGCTAACGTACCAGCTTGTTTTGCACAAAGGATCTCATGAGCTTCCTTTGTTCTTCTTGGAAGATCTCCCAATTCATCTTTCCCAAATGATCTCAAACTTGGCTTCAAGCCTTTAAGTTTCTTCGAAAATCGATTTAAGGCTATTTTTTTAGTGTTAAAAATGTCATTTAATCGTTCAACTTTTAAATTGTGGTCATTTTATACATGAACTTCATAGTAGGTCATTTCAAAACGACGTCGTATTGATTTAACAAAGACTTCTAACGAAAAGTTAACCCTGTTAACGGAAACTTAACGACATGCCCGAAATGGCTAAGTCAACGAAACTTGACCATTTTATCAAAAAGTCAAACTAAACTTTGTGATTTAAATGACATTTCGAAAGTTCATACTTTTTTCGTCCCAAATTTGAAATTTCGCGTATTTTTCGACATTTTTCCCTTTAAACATCAACTAAACATTTACTGCCGTATTAAACATCAGGCTGCGTTGACCTGGCCAATTATAAATGACGTTAAATCTGATACTGGAACCACTAACATCCGTTATCAGGCGTTAACTACTCTGTTAGTCGAATCGCCAATTTTCAAATGTAGGCTATTTTAAACCTGAACTTCCGTATGAGGTCATTTTAATCATCAACTAAACGTTGAATAACATGTTGGAAATCAAATTGCATTGACCCGGCCAAAAGAGACATGACGTTAAAATCTGCTAACATAACCACTAATAGCCGTTATTAGTCGTTAACAAACAACAACAATAAGACAAAAGAAGACACAATACAAAGAACCAAGACACAAACCAGACACCAAAGACACAAAGGCACTAGTAACCAAGAACAAATTTCTCATTTGGTGCCTAACACTACACATTCATCTAGGTGATTCCACACCATAAACACCCTCATCATAGACCATTTCTCCTTTGTAAAAAAGGATTCCATAAAATTCGAAAACGGTGAACTCGGTTCTATACCAGGTTGATATCATGGGCGGAGGAAATGTGTTATTAGGGGGTCAATTGACCCCTATGAATTTTGAAAATTCTACTACACTTTATTAAGAGTAATTATAATGACCCCAATGCATTATAGTTTTTGACCCCATATAAAACAAATTCAACTATATGACATACACATTGTCATTAACACACAAAAAAAAACTTAATAAGTGTGGTTCATTAGAATTTTAAACCCAATTCTAATGTAATAAAATTAAAAATCCTTGACTTATTTCAAAAAAGTTCAATTAATGATCTAATATTTATTTTTATTTTTATTTTTTTTGTTGAAATGTGTAATTCATTGATCTAGTAAAAAAGGAAATATGTACATATGTGTCCAAAAATTAAAAAAATGCAGAACAAAGCAAAATCAAAACCATTGCAGATGATCGGATGAAGGAGATTATGGCCTAACCATAATCCACCTCTACATTAGGAGCCGAAGATGTGGCTTTGTTGATTAATCAAGAGAAGTGATCCTGTTACGAATGAGTTTCTCAATGTTTCTGGTGACTTGAGAAGCTGTCAGGCCGCGGTTATCGTGAATCCGAGCGTTGCGCTCTCGCCAACTGGAGTATAAGGTCGCTTGGAAGGAGAGACGAACTAGGATATCTCTCAGTTTGTCCCCTGTATGGAATTGGATCGATGCTAAAGTTTCTTCCCAGTCTGGGTTTAGCAGGTGACGAAGTAACTTACCCGCTATCGAGGACCAGATTGTGTAAGTGTAGGGGCATGCGAAAAACAAGTGATCCCTTGTTTCGTCACCCTCACCGCAGAAGACACAGACTTGATGAGCTCCCCATTGCCGCATTCTAGCTCCATTGATAGACGGTTTAGAACTGCGAGCCATGAGATGAAACTGCATCTAGGGATGCCTTGACCAAACCAAATTAGATTGTGCCAAGGTGCTACTTGATGAACTTCACGTATTTACTGCCATGTATGATTAGCAGAGAATTGATCTCTAAAGTCATCTAAGCCATAGCGCCATAGAAACTTATCCTCTCCTCGAGAACTATTTGGTAGAGAAGAAGCTCTAATAGATTCCAACAAAGGATATAGATGCACAAGCCTGGTTCGACGTAAAAGCCAGCCGTGAGCACCCGAGGCATCTTTAACAGTCGCGTGTAGTGGGATGCCAAGAATACGAGGACCCGCTTGCCCTGTAATGTCCAGTATCCGACCCGCTGGTAACCAACAATCATACCAAAATGAAGCATTCTCCGCATTACCAATCTCCACACATATAAAAGGCCTTATCTCTGTCCGGAGTTTGAGTAACTTTCTCCAAATCCAGGACCCTAGAGTTGAGTTCGGTGCTATCCAAAAAGACCCCCTCTTCATAAGATTCTGCTTTGTCCAAGCCACCCAAAGAGAACCTGATAAAGTGAAAAGTCTCCAGATTAGCCTATAGGCGAAAGCTTTAGATACATCACGAAGCCGTCGTATTCCCAAACCACCCTCTTCTTTTGGTTTACAGACCTCAGTCCAGCAAACCTTAGCCCCACTAGATGTATTTGGATTCCCTGACCATAAAAAAGCTCCACATAACCTCTCGATCTCATCAAAACATCGGGCTGGAAGGCGAAAGACTGAACACCAGAAGTTCGCTATACTTGAAATCACAGATGTGATGAGTTGTAAACGCCCCGCATAAGAAAGATGCTTGCTGGTCCAGGAGAGCATACGAGACCGAATCTTATCAATTAGTGGTGCATAGTCATGAGCCGTCATGGACCTTGTAGTAAGAAGTAGACCCAAGTAACGAATGGGAAGAGATTCTGTTGGTATGCCATGAGCTGCCGCTGCTGTCATAAGTTCCGCTCTTTTTCTTCCACCAACATACATTGCGGATTTAGTGGGGTTAATATGCAGGCCTGAAATACGAGCAAATTCCTCAAAGACACAAACTGTTTCCCGCAAGGACGAAGGGGAACCATCTGAAAAAACCATAATGTCGTCCGCAAAACTCAAGTGTGTGACAGAGACTTGGTTACAACGAGGATGGCGACCAATATTACCAAGAGCTGCAGCCCGGTTCAGATGTTTTGAGAGCACATTTTGAACCATGACGAAAATATACGGCGATAAGGAGCAGCCTTGTCGAATGCCACGGCTACTTGCAAAAAATCCCTCTAGCTCACCATTAATTAACACAGAGAAAGAGGCCGATGAAATGCAAGCTTGGATCCATCTCGTGAATATCTCCAGAAATCCAAGAGCCCTAAAGATAGAAATGATAAATGACCATTGAACGGTGTCAAAAGCTTTTGATATATCGAACTTGATAGCACTTCTAGGGGCTATTGAATCCTTATGGTAGTCTTTGACAAGTTCCGTAGCAAGCAGTACATTTTCGAGAAGCAATCTTCCTTTAATAAATGCACTCTGATTTGGCTCGATAAAATCCGGAAGTATAAGCTTTAACCTGTTAGCCAAGATTTTCGAAACTACCTTGTAAAGCATATTGCAGCAGGCTATAGGGCGATAATCCTTTATCATCGCAGATGTGGCATCCAGATTCTTAGGGAATAAAGCTAGAAGAGTTGCGTTTACCGAGCGCGGCATTTGACCAAACAGAAAAAATGATTGAACCGCAACAATGAAGACAGGCCCGATTATATTCCAAGCGGCGACATAAAATTCCTTAGTGTATCCATCCGGACCACACGCTTTCCCCGATGGTAGTGAGAATAATGCTTTATTGATCTCTTCGCTAGAAACAGGCGACATTAGCTCAGCACAGCGACTTGGAGAGCATTGATAACCCAGCAAATCGGATAAATAATCTTGTGATATCACCTCAAAATCTACCATTTATGCCTGTAGGAACTCACGAAAGTGTCTAGCTGCTTCAGCCTTTATTTGGTCCGGCTGCGTTATTACCTCGCCGGAAGCCAATATTAAACTGCGGATGGCATTACGAGAAGCATTTGCTTGCGTTACTCGATGGAAGTATGAAGTGTTTTGATCGCCACACTTCATCCATTTAATTCGTGACTTCTGATGGAAAAACTTTTCCTCAATGGACGCTAACCTCTGCCAATTTTCTGAAGCATCCGCTAGAGCCCCAATATTTGATTGGGATGGGTCGGAGAGTGCAGCAGCCTGCAAAGTACATAATAAATCATATGCCTCCTTAGTTTTTTGAGGTAAATCGCCATACTGAGTTTTGTTGAGTCCCCAGAGATGAGATTTTAACCGTTTTAACATGCTATGGAAAAGTGACAACGCGACACGAGAGTGATAAAGAGGTGGAGATTCGGTCCAGACTTGAGCGACTGTTGGCAGGAACTGGGCGTGAGAGACCAAGAAATTAAAGAACTTGAATGGCTTACGGTGCTGCGAGTTTGCCGTTGAGAGACGGATCACACAGCGAGAATGATCGGAAATGCCTCCTGCTTCAAAAGTTGCATAAGAGTGTGGAAAGCTTGAGTACCATTCTGGATTAATAAGTGCTATGTCCAGTTTCTTTCCAATGGGATTGGAGTCTTGATTGTTTATCCAAGTGAAATTAGGTCCCGCAGAAGAAAAGAAACCGTGTTCTGAAAGTCTCGCATCCCAGTTGTATTGAAAGTATAATCCAATGCCCGTGAGTGATCAGTCATTGATAAGATCTCATTAAAATCTCCCAAAACTATCCATGGCGACGTAGGCTGCAGCAATGACGACTTTATATGACAGAGATCACCCCATAACAGTCTTCTATCCACCACAAAATTTGAAGCGTAAACAAAGGAACAGAGGAAACTGACTCCTGAACTCACCACTGTAACAAGAGAAGTAATGTGTTGAGAACTCATAAAAACTGGAACTAACGAGACATCATTGCTATTCCAGCAAACCCATATTCGTCCCAGCCGATGATGATCATAGTTTGTAATTGATGACCACCCTGGCAAGGTAGAACTGATAATAGACTCGTAAAACATTTCTTGAACTCGTGTTTCCATAAAACAACCAAAAGAAGGTTTAACTGCTTGAACCCAGCTTCTAACTACATTGTGTTTGCGAGGCATATTAAAACCCCGCGTGTTCCAAGCAAAGAATGACGTCATCACTTCCGTGAGGAAGTATTCTTTGATCCTTTCACTCTGACTTCTTTTCTCTGCGTTATTGGCTTAGGTGGTCCACGGGATCGACTACGACTGCGACCCATGTTTATTTTTGGCACTTTATCCATGGTCTGGTCCGCAAGAGAAGAAGCAGATTCCTGTTTTTCCCCCTTCCCAGTTCTCACTTGATCCAAACTTGCGTTGGTATCCTCCTCTGTTTCATCGATTTCTCCGTCTTCTTTGTCACCAGCTATCCCATTCACAGTCGTTTGTGCTTCTGTTACTCTGATTTTCGGCGATAACATTAAGTTCTGATTCAAAAGTTCTGAGTCTCCTCCATTCTCATCATCTCCCTCGTTCTGCAGAACTCGAAAACCCGTTAGCGAGGCAGGGATGGTTGGAGGTTCCACACCCTTACCTTTGAGTACTGGAGATGAACTTCGATTCTTACTCTTCACTAGAGTCAATTGGTTCTCTTGTGGAAGAGCAGATTGGTTTTGTGTAGGTGTGTCAACTTTATCACCAGCCACTATAGGAGGTAAGTGCAGCGTTGGAGTTAGTGCCAGATCCTGCAAAAGACTCTGAGCCAACTCCTTCACTGTAGCGGAATCTACCACCTCGTCACCTTGTACCTTCTTAGGTCCAGTAGGTTGTGTTGCCGAAACAATCTGAATCTTGTCAAAAGCAGTACAATCCTTCTCCTTGTGACCCCAATGAGAGCACAGCTTACACTTTGGAGGTAACCACGGATAGCTAACAGGAACCAGAATCTCCTCTCCTTTCTCATTCGCGAAACTTATAGTTTCCGTTAAAGGAGCCTGCAAATTCACTTCCACTAGAACTCTTGCCACATCCAACCTTATGCATCGCTCTGTATTTGGGTGCAGCTTCACAAACTTTCCCACTGTACTTGACAGTAGCTCAAGACCCTGGTGTGAGAAAAGATTTCCCGGTACACCCCGTAAGTCAACCCACATAGGCATAGCCGAGAGATCCGGTGGCGCCTGTGACGCTTCTGGATTCCACTCACTAACAACAAGAGGAATATCGGCTATATGCCAATATTTTCTTTTCAGAACACGTTCTCGAATCTTAGGATTCACTATACGGAACAGGACAGATGTTTTGTTTATGACTTGAACATCAATCTTGGATGTCTTCTCCAAAATTGTCCAGATACGATTAACCGTGGCGTGTATCGAACCCACATGAGGGACATCTCCCATGAAGTGTCCGATCACAAAATTCTTCCACAACGGGAGAGCATCAGCAATGAGTTCATCAGGAATCGAGATCCGAGCAACACCATCCGTAACAACAAACTCTGGTTTGGATTGCAAAGCGGAGGCCGAACCATCAGCTACTGTCAGCGTACAGTTCTCCTTTTTGGAAGAAGAAACCACTTGGTCAGAACATGATTGGGAAGAGCCACCTAAAGGAGGCGGAGGCCCCATCCAGGCGCCGGAGAATTGCCTTGAGGAAGAAGGTGTAGCGGAGGAAACAGGGGAACCCCAGAGCGGCTAGGGTTTCGATTTCACTAATGATCTAATATTATAGTTATATATAAATAAAAAACACCCACAAATTAATTTATTTTTTCCTTTATTAATCTTTGTGGACCATAACAAAAAATTGTAAATATAAATTTGGTTGATTTTCAGATATTTTCTTTTGTTAAGTATAGATTATTTCAGGAGAAAGCTAATAATACCTTTTTATTTATATATTATTTCATATTTAAAAAAATTGACCCCTATAACAAACATTTACTACTCCGCCATTGGTTAATATCCCCATTTTGTTCCATTTGCATACATATCTTATGTAACGTCATCATGCTTCCCCTCAAATTAAGTATTCATCTGTTATTTTCTCTCAATTTTCTTATCATTGTCTAATGTCTTACGTCCACCTCTCTTGATCTCACCATTCGTCTGCAGACTAGTAACCAAGAACAAATTTCTCATTTTTGGTTACTAGTGTCTTTGTGTCTTTGGTTTTTGATTTGTGTCTTGGTTCTTTGAATTGTGTTTTCCTTTGTCTTAGTTTTGTTGTTCGTTAACGATAGATAACGGTTGTTAGTGGTTATGTTAGGAGATTTTAACGTCCTGTCTTTTTTGGTTGGGTCAACGCAATCTGATGTTTTAATATGTTAGTCAACATTTAGTTGTTGATTAAAATGGTCTCATACGGAAGTTCATGTTTAAAATGGCCTAAATATGAAAGTTAACGATTCAACTAACAGAATAGTTAACGCCTGATAACAGCTGTTAGTAGTTCCGCTATCGGATTTTAACGTCATGTCTATATTGACCAGGTCAACGCAGTCTGATGTTCAATACGACAATAATGTTTAGTTGATGTTTAAAATAGTCTACTATAAAGTTAATGTATAAAATAGTTATTATTTAGAAGTCGAATGATTAAATTTCAAATAAATTAGAATAACTAAACAGTAAAGCAAAAGCACGCATGTGAGGGTGGGACGAGTTTTTGTTCATATGTAATATTATTTTGTTCATGTGTCTTACATAGAAATTAGATAAAAAGGCGTATCAATAGTGGCTAATAATAATCAGGTTTATGTTAAATTGTTAGATACGAAATGCACTTTTTTTTTTTTTTTTTTTTTTGTCGGCAATTCTTTTGCATTAAAAGCCCAATGGGCAAGTACAGAAGGAATTAAGGTTATAAAACCCATGAGGATTACAAACAAAATGTTAACGGCCCAAAACTAAAACACAATAAATGCTTCAGCGATAGACACGTGTAGGTTACGTGTTCTGCTCCAGTCCACGCGTCAATTCTTCGAGCTCCACCGTCAACCTTCGCCAAACATCGCAGGATTCCGATCAGACGCCGCCGATCAGCTCAGGAGCGATGAGAATCCTCCTTCCTTCTGGCGTTCTCAAATCCTAGCCATCGTCGAGCAACCTCCGAATCAATTGAAAGGAAACCGCTTCAAAACTCTCCGAGCAACACCATCTCCGGGGAAGCTCCACCGCTGGCCACACCCAATTTGATGTGGACTGATCTTTGCTCTTACTTCATGAGCAAAATGAAGCGACGAAGATATTACTCCGCGAAAAGAGTGGAGAGATCGGATTGGAAATTGAAGAAAAACAGAGACATCGACGGCACGGAGGAAAAGAGAACAGTCTCGCCTAAGCGAGAAACAAAAACCGGACAAAGCCGGTAGACGAGAATCCGACAACAGTCGGAACTTATTAAACTCGTTTAAAACGAGAGTATATACAGATCCAGTGAAATCCGGAATCAAAACCAACGATAAGCTTCTCTGATCTAAAAGATTTGTAAATAAAGAAGAGAAGAGAAGCTTTTCTGATTCGCTGGTTAATAATTCCGGTACACCGGAAATCGCCTTCTCTCTCTGAAAAATAAGAGTGAGATAAATGCACTTTTAACCACGTTAAAGAATATGACTTTTTTCTTCTTCTTTTTGGTCGGCATATTTTAAGACATAGCTAAACAATAAATATATGAATTATATAACATGTAAATTTAAGGGAAATTGGCAAAACTAACCAACAAAAAAACTTTAATTAAATAACTAACCTCTAACCCCCCTATTCACTCTCTTTCTCTTCCTATCTCTCTCTACCTTCTTTCTAAAAAACTAATTTTTCTTTTTTTTTTGGTTATTCACCTAAATCACCCAAACATAGCATAAACATCACGGGCCAACAAATAATACATATATCAATCTCTTGAACAGAAGCATAATTTAAGTGATAATGATAGTAATAACCAAATCCATAGTTTGTTGAGTCGCCCCTGGTTTCGTGTCATAGGAATCTTGCACACAATGGTAACTTATTAGATTGTGTGTTCGTCAATTTTTTTAATTTTTGTACTTCTATCAGATTCACATTATAACATTATCTATATTCATAATATTTATTTTCTATTATTATATTCATAAAATGTGGTATGAATTTACAGCTTTTGTAATTACCAAAAAATAATATCAAAAAACGTTACTAAAAACGTTATTTTTAATTTTTTGTACCGCTTTTTCTTATATGTATTCTATACTGTTTTTACTTATTCTTGTGTCGCTTAGCACAATTTTAATTCCGCGTAAAAAGAACTATGCTGCTATATATTATTAATCAAACAGATACTAATAATTTATTGTTTTAAAATATGTGTAAATTTCAAATAAATTAGAATAACTAAAACAGTCTCGTAAAAGCACGCATGTGAGGGAGGGACGAGTTCATGTATATATTATTTAAGTTCATGTATATATTATAGAGGTGTCAAGTTCATGTATATATTATATTGTTCATGTGTCTTCGGCCAGTCAATAATGGCTAATAATAATCACGTTTATGTTTATACCAAATGTACTTTTTACCACGTTAAAGAATAAGACTTTTAAGTAGATCATAACGTATAAAAGAACATAGCTAAACAATAGATATATGAATTATAACATGTAAATTTAGGCCCAAACATAGCATAAACATCACGGGCCAACAAACAATACATAATTTAAAAGTTGAACGATTAAATGACATATTTTCAGTAATACCAATCTTAGTTATATTGTACTGCTTTTTTAGCTATCATTATATCGTTTATCTTTTTTCTATCGACTCAAAAATTATTCTGTTATATATTACCAATCAAACCGATAATAATAATTTATCTTTTATAAAATATGTGTAAATTTCAAATAAATTAGAATAACTAAACAGTCTCCCAAAAGCACATATGTGAGGGTGGGACGAGTTTCTGTTCATATGTAATATTATTTTGTTCATGTATCTTACATAGAAATTAGATAAAAAGGCCTATCAATAGTGGCTAACAATAATCATGTTTATGTTAAATTGTTAGATACGAAATGCACTTTTTAGCCACGTTTAAGAATAAGACTTTTTTTCTTGTTCTTTTTGGTCGACATATTTTAAGAAATAGCTAAACAATAGATATATGAATTATATAACATGTAAATTTAAGCCCAAACATAGCATAAACATCACGGGCCAACAAACAATACATATATCAATCTCTTGAACAGAAGCATAATTTAAGTGATAAATGATAGTAATAACCAAATCCATTGAAACCCTCAAGAGTACTTATGCGTCTCTGTCCCTTTTACATTCCGCTGGCATAACCGGGAACCTAGTCCGGTCGGTACAATAGTTGTAGATGGTCCACTTCATACGAACCCATTTGAGACGGCGCCATTGTTCAGCGTCAAGGTCACGGAATTCATTCTGGTCCCACCACATGCGGCCTTGGGTGGCACAGTACTTGGCTTCCACAGAAGCTTGGCAACCATCAATGTGGAATCCTTTGTAGGATGCAATGAAAGGTGCATTGGCCCAATTGGTTTTCTCTAAACCACCTCTCGTGGCCCAATCATCCGCGTTCCAAAGGCTCGAGTAAAGCTTCATCGGTTGGTTGAAAGGGAAACGTACTCCTAAATCCTTAGCGTTCTTGAACGTTCGGATTGGTATGTTGTCAACAAAGAATCTGATCAAACAAAAAACCAAATTTAGTAAACCACACCGGTTTAAACACATGACTTCCTAGAGTTTAAATTTTGAAAAGCCAACAATAGAGACGAGCTAGTGAGTCACTTATGTTACCTATCCACATAGGCAAATTTGAACATTTAGAAAATTTAAAAGCTGAAAAAGTTTTAACTTTTTGACTCAAAAGTCTCTGTCTTAGATAATCTTACAAGACCCCACTACTTTTGATAAGATCAAGATTTTGGCCACCCCCAAGGTTAAGAAAAATAATACTAACAATTTGAAATTGCACCGAATATGAAGAAAAAAACAATAATTATCACTAGTAGGACCATGTGATTTTTTATTTTTTTTTCATCACGCTAGTAGGACCATGTTAATTCTGACAACTTTTCACTATACAATAATTACGAAAAAGTGTAATGTAAGTAAATGAGAAGAAGGATAGAATCATTCATACACGATCTGGTACATGTTCCAAAGGATTGAGTAAGTGTGATAAGCCTTAGAAGGATCAAACCAGAGATAGATGCGTTGTTCTCTGTTTCCTTTTCCTCCTGTGAACACATTTGTCTGTAATATTGGTGGTTGTCCTGTTCTGTTCCCAAGAAACTCAAAGTCTATCTCGTCATGCTCGTTGTTGGTCGATGAAAGCTTCATAAATTTAATTGTAATTAATATTGCTATATCATTTAAAGCTGAGATCTGTGTTTTAGTAGTGACTAGTGGAGAGACTTACATAGAAAGCTGTGACAACTCCAGCTGTGTCACCAGCCGGAAGCTTTATGTGCATACTAAAATGTCCAAACAAATATGACCCTTTTGATTGAAACCCTGTCCCTGTTTTTTTTATACACATGTAACATTGCTAAGATCTTGGGGCCTAAGGCCAATGAAAGATAAAAGTTGTGTTTTATACATTTTAAAAAACAAAAATGTGTCCTAAATAAAATTTAAATATTGTTTTGTAGTAAAATAATAGAGATGATTAATGCTATTTAGTATTTACTTAATCTAT